AAGTCTGTCATGGATCCTTGGTGGAGAAATCCCTGTTCTAGTCTGAAGCCTGTCTTCAGGGGCCTAGAGAAGTAAAGCAACACACCTAGAATCACAGAGCTCCTAAAGCAAAACACTTCTGTTAGTCTGTTATTGTTTTCCCCATGATTCTATCCCCTAAAGCCCATTCTGAATTTATAGAACTTAACGGAAGGGCTAGGGGTATTAAGCCTTAAAATGAACTATGTCCTTTGGCTTACTCAGTTAGGAGATTAAAGTACAATAATATCCAAAACATTTACATCATTGATATAGAAAAGCCAAATGAACTAAGCAAAGTTTTTTTATAACTTGTTATGGTTATTCAAAGGGCTATAATTCAGATCTCTAGTTGATCTAGTTTCTTACCCTGACTGCCAGCATCTAAATTCATCAGTAGCTGTCAAACAGACCACTCTTGAGCACTAGTTCTGTTTATTCATCCTATTTACTTTCTTTTTCTTGCACCTCCCAAAGGCCCCTCATCGTTGTGTTCAGCCTGACCTACCAACCCTTTTGGGGAGAGTGTCAAGGTGAAAGCATCACAATAAACATTAGTTACCATTTATTATTATTGCAGTAATTCCAGATTTGCTGTCTGCTAGCAATGTGTCTTTGATCACATCACTCAGTTTCTCTGTACTTCAGTATCTTTATAGGTAAGTTGGATACAGTACTATTTTTCTTGCAGTCCATCATGTTATAAGAAATAAATGTAGCACCTAGCTCAGATAAGTGACAACTTGTACTATTTTTCTGCTACACTCATCACATTCTTTATTGGAGTCAGGCAGGTGTCTCCAAGTACTCGGTGCTTGTCTCTTACAGTATTACTGCCGCATCATTCTTCAGTGTTGAGTTCCTTCTCTGTTTCAGTCACTGCTGTGTTAAGATTGAGGGGGGAGTGTGTGTCACTTTTCTTCTTTTTCTCTTTCCTCTATTCATAATAATTTATTATACTAATATATGTAACTTCAGTTCCTTCTCCAAAGTTTGATTATTAATTTAACAGAAAGCTATTTATGAGGCTTTTTATAAATTTTTCTCCTCCTATCTTTCCATTGTTAAGAGTACAGTTATTTTATTTCCAGTGAGGAAACACTTGATGAAGAGACTTTTCTTTTTGAAGTCCAGATTTCCGTCTCCGGAGTAATAGAGAGCAGCTAATAATGTGGCAAAGCTCAGCTTCTAATTTGATGCTTCCGCAAGCTAGGAGCCAGCACTTTCCCTCTGATTTGAAGGGGTGAGGGTTAGGGTAGGACTCCTGATTAGAAGAAAGGTTTCAATCTTAATCCTCTATTTGAAAAAATTATTAAGCACACCCTTGTAGATATATAGGTGGTCATAAAATATGAATTGTTCTAACAGATGTATTATAAAAACATTAAAAATATGTGTTAAATGATGACCTTTTTGAAAAAAAGAGAGGTTCTATTATTTTCTTCCTGAACCCCGGGGGGCATCTAACTTGCATCCTTGTTGGAAATCACTTTTTTAATGTAATCTTTCAGGCCCAGCTCAAGTCCCTGGTCTTTCTTAATTGCTTAATTTATTTCACAGTTTTATTTCTAAAACTGGATTGTAAACTACCTGAGGTTAGAGATAATGTCTTATCTGTCTTCCCTTGTCCCACAACAGTGCCTCACACAATTTTGAGTACCACATAATTATTCAATGTTTATTTGTTGATTAGTTCCTTGGGATCATTTCAGGGTATTATTTCAATGATTGTTAACAAAAGGAAGAAATTCTCAGCCTTAGTTTACCTGAGTAGTTCTGACGGTAGTCTCCATATTATTTACCTTCTAAGATGAAAGATCATCAGGCCTATATCTGCGTTTATAGTTTTGCAGAAATATACTATGTCTGATGAAGTGACTTGATTGGGACTTCACGGGAATGGTGCAGGCTCAGAACCAGACCTGTGTCATCACCCACATCTGTTTTTGTTCCTTGAGATTTCTTTTAGTTTCTTATCAAATAGCTGAGTGCTAACCTATAGCATTTAAAAAAAATACTTTGTCAGAGTTACTTTGTGCTGGCATTATTCATGTTCCCACTGTTTGGATATACTCCTTTATATTTTGTATTTTGCATATCTCTGTTCTGTCCCTCTGAGCCACTACTATGCCCTTTGATTCTAAAGGCCCTTTTAAATCTCTGAGAATAATTATTTGTAATTACACTGGAAAATCCTTTATAGCTGTTCAGTTCTGTGAATCTTAGTGACTTGATATCATAGCCTTGTTCTGATGGCGTTTCTATATTGTCATCCTCCCTTTAGAGAAACTAAATTTAGAAAGAAAGAAGAAAAAAGACCAGTTTATTGTCAGTTGCAAATCAAGACAGCGAAAGAGGTGAAAATCAAACACTGGTCTCCAGATTTACAGTTCATTTGTGTCTCTGTGGATTGTGTCATTCTTTCATGAAAGGTGCAGTACTTTGCACTTAATAATATAATTCACTAAATTAGATCATAACAGTTACCAATTACAACTTAAAGGTTTTGGGATTTTTATTATTTTATTTGCTTGATAGGCATATTAGTCATTTTTTTCCATCATTACAAACACCCTCAAAATCTCAAGGGATTATAATGACAAATACTTATTTTTCTTGCTCGTGGCTGTGCAGGTCAGTTGGGGTGGCTCTGCTCTGGGCTGCAGGTTAGGTTTAGGTCTGTTCCACATGTCTCTCCTTATCCTTGTACTAGCAGCTACCTGTACATGTTCCTCTCATGGAGAATGGCAGGAGTATGAGAGTACAAGCCAAACCACCCAAGCACATTTAAAGCCTATGCTTGTATTATGCCTGCTCAAATCCCATTGGCCAAAGCAAGTCAGCAGCCTACCCCAACATCAGTGGACCAGGGTATATACGCAGTCCACAGCAGGAGGCTGTGCAGAATTAAAGGGCAAAGGACCTGAATGTCAAATCCTATTAAAGAGGCGTGGAAAACTGGGGGAAATAATCCAGTCTACCACTGTAGGGAAGCAAGCCATTAAAACAATCATTAGCTTGCTAATATAAGTTCCATGGACTGTAAACATGGCAACACTTTTTTTCCATGGGTAATTTAAATCTTATTTGACTTCGTTATTTCAAAAATTCTCCAGTGCTCTGAGTTTCTTTCAAGAATGCCCCTTTAATCCAGAGTTATCATTTAATAGACATGAACACAGGTAGATATGATAGTGATTAATTGCCTTCTGTGCTTTGAGAAAGAGCTAAAATTGCTGACTGACTAGGGGGAAAAAATGAAGGGATAGATTTAAAAAAGATAAGGTAAAAATACCTAAACAAAATAAAGCATTCTTGCTAAGAAACTGTTAAAGGTTGTAAGTTAGGCACTTCGAATTGAAGTGAAAGGAACAGAGTTAAGCGCAATTAACTAATGATAGGGAGGTTGATTTCTGAGACTTAGAAAGACACTTCAGTAAAGCATTAAAATTTCTATTCTTACTTAGACAAGGAAGGAGAAAGTTCAGAGGTGGCGTGTTACAATCTCATGATTACCTAGCAGTCTAATTAAAATCAGTTTTAATGTAATATTTTGTAAGTAAGTACAAAAATGAATTTGTACATTAGTATTAATGCCTGCTATATACTGCAGTGGAATGAATAGCTCCCTTGAAATCTTTTCCTTCGTGAAGTGGTAAGACTGCTTTTAGTTTGTTAATATTTGCTATTTTCTTTTATTGCCTTATTTCTATCCTTGAATAGGAAGAATTTTTTATTTTGAAAATGACATCTTTTACAACCTACGTGGGTAATATTTCATATAAGGGATGCAGAATTCACTTTGTTTGAACAGGTTGAAATGCTCTGGAAACTCAAAAGAAATGGTGCTTTATTGTGATGTGTTTTATGACAGTTGTATCTCCTTTAATGATGTGAACAAGGAAACTAAAGGAAATGTGTATTGCAAAGCTATGCAGTATTAGGCATAACCCAGTCTACCTTTTTTGTCATGGAATTGAAAGTTCATTTTATCTCTGGTATGTGTACCTGACTTTACAAGCAGTATATTCATGGGAATATATAAATAATTTGGTTTTTTTGACCTTGTACTTTTAATTATAGACTTGTAAGATTATAGACTCATTGGAAGTTACAAACATAGTGCATAGAGATCCTGTGTACCCATCATCTCACTTCACCTAATGGTGACATAAGACTAATTTTTAAATCATTGTCGGACCTTTTTTGCTCTCTTTAATAAGCCTGTTTTTTCAGATATCTAACTTTCTTTAAAGAAAGTATTGTGCTTGATCCATTTTAGCTTTCAGAATTATGAAGTGTCGTGTAAGGATTCTTAATGTCACTTTTTTTTTCCCCTGAAAAGGTTTTATTAGGCGCAGACAGGAGGGGCTTAGTCCTTCTTGGTGGCCTCTTTCCTCATGGCAGCCAGGACATTGCTCAGCTCCTCTCTTCCTCTTGGCGTGGATGTGTGTCCCCACCCGTTTCTTGATGAACTTGAGGGCCCACTTGTCCTTGGAGACCTTGGGAAGCTCCACGGCCCACTGCTTATAAGGGGCGAAGCCTCCCGGATCATGTCCCGCGCGAATATGGTGTGCTTGGTGAGGCGCCCGCAGCGGCGGCTGTGCCTCGGCTTGCTCACGTTCTTGGTCACCTTGTGGCCTTTGTTGAGGCCCACGGCCATGGGGTAGCTCAGAGCCATAGCTGCTTCTCTCCAATGGCTGCCGAGGCGGAATGTCACTATTGTTTTATCTCTTTAGTAGATTCTTCTCGGTTTACCCAGTTTCCAGATTGTACCATTGATTGGGAAGGCATTATGTCTCATCTGCTTTTCTGATATATTTCTCCTCAGCAATCTGAAAGATACATAAGCCCCATTTTACTCCTTATATTGAAGAAATATATTCAGTTGGATATTTAGATTTCTTGTTTTGAGTTTATTTTGGTGATGTCTGAAAACTTGAGAGATTTTTTTTAACATCATCTTTTTTTTTTCCTTTTAGCCTGAAAATGAAATTTCTTCAGATTGCAATCATGTAAGTATGGATTTTTCCATAATTTCACCATATGTGCTTTATATATATGATGATAGATACCGGGTTGCTCTTCCTGTTGTTCTGGGAAGCATAATGTTTTCTTAGATTCACTTAATCTTAACAAGAGGATTATTAACCTTGTTTAAGGGCCATGGAAAATCTACAGATATTCCTCTGTTGTAGAAACCAGGAGGCTCTGCCAAATAACATTTATATATTTAAGTTTAAATTTTTCTTCAGTTACAGCTCCTATGAAAATAATTGTGTTTTTTTGTTTGTTTATCCAATTTATAATTTGAGTTCCATATTTTAAAGTTGTTTCGTTTAGTCATCATGCAGTCATCTACTATGTGCCAAACAGTATCGTAGAAACTAGAGACACGTAAGTAAACACCTCGAAGATAGAGACATATATTAAAGTTAGCAGAAAAGAACTCTAGAAATAATTATAATCAATATATTAAATATATTATATAAGGTATAACATTAAAAGGAGATTGACGTGAAGTCAAATCTGTGCAAAAAGTACTGGATGTTTCTGCAGAAGTCTGTAAGAATACAGTCAGGACACAAAAATGAATTTTGCCGAGGTGGATTGATGTCAGGAAAGACTCAGTAGTGGAGATGATACTTGAGTTGTGTCTTAAAAGAGCAGTAGCTATGTATCTGACAGTGGTAGAGTAAATTACTCTGTCACTACATTGTTTGATAGTTTGGATGGGAGACTGCAAGAACGGAGAAGCAGGTTGGCTGCTTAAGTTGACTACTTACTTATTCTAAAGAAGACCAAGGTAGGTCACAGATTTAAAATAAAAGTAAAACCAAAGGAGTAGTAGAAGAAAACATAAACGGAGGGAACGGTTTTTAAATGTGATACAACTTCAAAAAATATTTAAAGAGAAAAAGATTTATAAATCTGATTGCATTAAAAAACTCAAAAGAGAGATTTGAAGGTTTTTTGTCTTTGAAGAGTTGTGTAAGTTATAAAAAAGTAATTTGCAACATGGATGGAAAGGACTACGTTCTTTAATAATAAGTGCTGTTAGTAAACAGGCAACGGATGTAACTATTCACAGGAAAAGAAAAAGATGTCCAGTAAACAAAAAAGTTGATTCTCTCATAAATAAAAGCGTGAAAATTAAAAGAAAAATGAATATAGTTTTTATCCATCTCATTAGCAAATATTAAAAATGTGATAAATACACAATATTGATAAGAATATGAGGATTTAAGCATTCCCTAACCCACCAGTCAGCAAACTGCTACCCATTGGCCAAATCTAGACTGCTGCCTGTTTTGTTTGCTTGTTTGTTTTTTTAGTAAAGGTAGATTTATTTAGAGAGATACATAGGCTGTTTGAGAAGGCAAGAGAAAGGCCACGAGGTGTAGGGGTTGAGTGCTCAGGATAAAGTAAAAGTAGAGACACACTCCATAGGCAGTACGGACCATCTCCAAAGACGAGGGAACAAGAGATGCGACCAGGAGGCATGGTGTTGCTAGTTTTCTTTTGGGCTCAGTAGCTTCTTATGCCAACAGTGGGAGGACCATTACAGCTACCCTGGTAAAGGGACTGGGATTCCCAGGAATTGGGCCACCGCCCACTCTTTGACCTTTTGTGGTTAGCCTTGGATGCTGCCTGTTTTTATACATCAAATTTTATTGGAACACAGCCATACCCATTCAATTATATATTGTGTGTAGCTGCTTTCCATGTTATAATGACAAGGTTGAGTAGTTGCAACAGTGACTATAGGTTCCTCAATGCCTAAAATATTTACTTTCTGGCCCTTTCTGAAAAAATTTGCTAAACTCTGCTCTAGCCTATGGATAGAAATATAAATAAGAAAAACTTATTTATAAGCAGTCAACTTAAAATGCATATGTCTATAAAAGGGTATTTGTTATAGCATCTTATTTATTAAGCAAAAGATTAGGAAAAAGTCCTCAAAATCTATTAATAGACTGAATCTGACAAAGAAGTCCAGGAAGAAGCTGATCTGCAAAGGGCTGGAGAATAGGAAGGATAATTGGAAGAACTGATGTTCTTATAAAAAGAGAAGATTAGGATACAGGCACAGAAGAAGGGATGGACATCTACAAGTCAAGAAGAGAGCCTTCAGAAGAAACTGGTACTGCTAACACCTTGATGTCAGACTTCTACCCTCCAGATTTGTGAGCAAGTACATTTTTGTTGCTTAAGCCACCCAGCCTGTGGTATTTTGTTATGGCTGCCCTGTTAAACTAATACGCTTAGGTTGGGGTGGAATGCACTATAATTTTTCCCATTAAAGTTAATGGAACAAAATTTTTAATTTGAGTAGCTTTCCACCTAGTAGGGAATCCAGGAATTACTGTTGTTAAGCAAGAGATTAGATAGTTATGAACAATTTTTAGGCTAATGAATTTGAAAATGTTGATGCAATGGACAAATTCCTAGAAAAACAAACTTACCAAAACTAACACAAGAAGTGGAAAATCGGAATAACCTATTTTTAAAAATTTGAATCTGTAAATAAAAATCTTCCATAAAGAAAACTCCAGGACCAGATGGATTTATTGGTTAAATTTTACAGACACTTAAGGAAGAAATAACATTAGTCTTTCAGAGAATAAAAAAGGTGGAAACATTTTCCCCTTTAATATTATCAGACTAATATAACATTGATATCAGTTGACAAGATATAACAAGGAAAGAAATATATAGGCCAGTGTTACTCGTGAACCATAGATGAAAAAATGCTTAAGCAAATTAGTAGCAAACTAAAAAAAAAAAAGGTAGCAAACTCAGTGCAGCCAAAATATAAGAACAGAAATATATCAAGACTTAATTGATTTTATTCCATACTTGCTTGTAAGGTGAATTTAACATTTGAGAAACTAATCACAATGAAGGAGAAAAATTTTGTCATCTTTTCAATAGACACTAAAAAAATTTTTGATTAAATTGTGCTTATTTTTTTTTAAAGCTTTTATTATGTGAAATGTTCTAACATTGTTATTAGACTGATTATTGCAGGATATGAGATTACTATACACAAATCAGTTGTATTCTTGTTGACCAGAAATGAATAATCTGAAAATGAAATGAAGAAAACAATTTCATTTACAGTAGCACCAAAAAGAATAAAATACTTACGAATAAACTTAACAAAAGAAATGTAAGACTATACACTGAACTCTATAGAAACATCCTTGAACAAAACTGAAAAAGACTTAGTGTAAATAAAGGAAAAGCATCCTGTTTTCATGGGTTAGAAGGCTAATACCATTAAAATGGCAGTACTAAAAATAAATAAAATAAAATAAAGTAAAATAAAATAAAATGGCAGTACTCCCCTAATTGATTGAGATTCAGTGTAATCCTTGTCAAAATTTCTGCTGCCAACTTTGCAGAAATTGACATTCTGGTAGAGGGGTGGGTAGCTCAAATGGTAAAGTGCATGCTTAGCATGCATGAGGTCCTGGGTTCAATCCCCAGTACCTCTTCTAAAAAATAAATAAGCCTAATTACCTGCCCCCCAGGAAAAAAAAAGAAATTGATTTTCTGATCCTAAAATTCATATGGAAATGCAGGGGATCCAGAATAGCCAAACTGTTTTGAAAAAAAGAACAAAGTTGGAGGATTCACACTTCCTGATTTCAAATCTTTGGTACAAAGCTTCAGCTATCAAGACTCTGTGGTACTGGCCTTAGACAGTGGTATCATAGTTATCTGGGAGAAGTCCTGTACATAAGGAAATTTATACCTATTGTCAGAACAAATATAGTTCCAAATTAAAAGTAAAGACATTCAAAACATCTAAATGATTATCTGAATGGTTTTTGACAGAACATTTGTTTCTAGCCCAGTTATAGGACATCTGAGTTTGCATTGGATAAAATAAGGAAATATTCTGTGGTTTGTATTTATTTTTTTGACAGTTATTGCTGTTCACTCCAAATCTTCTAGGTACCAGACAGCTTTTGTCTTTCTTCCTTTTTCTCTTCCTTCCTTCCTTTTTTCTTTTTTTTTTTTTTTTTACATGAGAGATATGGCATTGGGTCAGCTGCAAGTCACTCAATAGGAGGACATTTTAAATCTATCTTTGATTGATATATATACAGAATTAGAATGTGTTGCTTTAACTTAAAATATAAAAATTAATTTCTATGTACTGACTTAGTAATAGTAGATAGATTGATAGATAATAAAAAGTATGGTCAGATTCTAACTGTCTTTTTTTTGCATTCATCATCATTTATTTTTAAATTAAAAAAATTTTTTTTAAATTGAAGTGTAGGTGATTTACAGTGACTAACCTTGGCTTTTGAATCATGGGATTCATCTCTACTTCTGAGGAGCTAGGAGGCCTAAGATTGCTTCAGTTAGAACTAAGCTTCTCCTGTATTCATTCTGTTTGGCCTCATGTGTTCTACTGGTTGAACTTACCATGGTATAGATTTGTTCTTTTGTTGATCTGTTCAATGACTATCAATGTCTCTGTGCTCCATGTACTCCTTTAGGCACTGGGCATATGATGATGAACAAGGCAAAATCCCATCGTCTTAGAGCTTTTGTTATAGATGGTAGCCAGATTCTTACTCCTTTTTCTGAAAACTCACTTATTGATAATAGTTGGAAGATTAGAGCTTTTTACTGCATTTGTTTGTTTTTGAGGCAGAAGAAGAAATCCTGCTCATTCTTTATATTTTATTTCTTCACAAAAATCTTACTTAGCACTCCTATGCAGAACTAACTTGTTCCTAATATACTTTATATTAGCCTCTGTTCTACTTCTAAAAAGCAGATCTGGTCCTGTCACTCCCTTATTCCCCTTTCAATGATTCTCTGTTATTCTTGGGTTAAAGTTCAAACATGGCTTACAAAGGCTTTATGATCTGGCCCTGGCCTGCCTCCTCAGAGTCAGTCTTTCATTTGACTTTGAGTTCCTCAAACACTTCTTGCTTCCCATTCTGATGAGCTTCCATACATACTGTTCTATTTACTTAAAACAGTTTTCCCCACTGCTTTTAATATGGCTAACTACTGCCAGTCTTCTAGATTCCATCTTAGATAGCACTTTGGTGCACCTTCTCTGACCAACCCCCCCGCTGCAGTCTGGGGTACTCCTCCTTGCTGTGGGGCCTTGTGAGCCATTAACTGAATTCTTAGTCACATTACCTGCCATTGACCATAGCCACCACTGGGCAGTCTTTGTCTTTCTCCTCCTGTTTTATCCCCCAGTTCCTAACATTCGCTTCTGTTTCCTGTAGTAGCCTGTAAAGCCCTTGAGATTAGACTGTGTGTGGTACATCATAAGAAGTGCTAAGCAGATGTTTGAATGAATCAGTGAATGATTGTATTCTTTAGTCTTGGAGTGTAGCAGTCTGAGAGAAAGTCTTGTGAACTGCCCTCCACCCCACAAATCTTTTCCTCTTCTACATCATACAAAGCCCCTGCTCTGTTTCTCTGTCTGAGCAGAGTTTAAGGACTCATTCTTGTTACTTTTCAGAAATTGAATCATGTATTAAAAAATTTTAACTGCAGCTGCAAAGATAAAGTAATATTCAACCTCACCTGTGAGTAGTAATGGCTTTAGAGATTTCATACTTTAAGACATGGTAAAATAGTTGTGTAAAATAGGCCATATTGTATATGTATCAAGTTGAGGATTTTAGAGGAATAAAGGTAGATATGCCTGGAAACTAGAGTCTCGACAACTCTCCTTCAAGAAATTGATCAATGAAAAGCCCTGTTGATTGTGAAATCTGTGACTAAACCCACCAAATCTGAACTTCTGTATTAAAGTTTTTGATTTAAGAAGAATTTCACTTATACAATCTATTCATACTTTCTCTTAAACACTTATCAGGGGTTTTCATTTTAATTTTTTTCTTGACTTAAAAAAATTTGTCCTTAAGTAAAAATATAAAAAAGTATGCCTGAGTGGTAGTGTCTTATTTGTCTACACATTTTTCCCTTATATCTGTAAATATAGTGACCTTACTTTTTATTCATTAACTGAAGTGTAAATATGCTTTATCTGACTCTGTATAATGGAATTTTATCATTTATAGTAACCATTGATGATACATTTCATACTGTCCTAACTGGAGTTTTTTTCTGTTATACCTAGTTGTTGTGGAATTATAAGCTGAATCTAACTACAGATCCCAAATTTGAATCTGTGGCCAGAGAGGTTTGCAAATCTACCATATCAGAGGTAGGTTGTGAAAGAATTTTATGGATATTTAATGGCTTAGAGGAGAAAATCACATCTGTTGACCAGACCAGTCATTAAGGGAGGAATGGCTGATTGTTACTTTATTTTTCTTGGAATTCACATATGTATTGGTTGAGAGATAGGCTAAAGGGGGTGTAATAAGACTTCTTATTCTTAACGTTCACCTACACTTACGGTAGGATGCTATTGATTCGCACAAGTTGGAATCAGGCTATTTTTGTCCCGAAACAGAGAATACAATTGCTTCTGTCATAAATCAGTGCTCTCACACATTGTACAATCTGCATATGACTGAGGCATATCAAAATGGTTTCCCCATGAGACTCATAAACATTCCTAAGCGTTTTGTCTATGCATTTGGACCATTTGAGGCACAGAAGCATATGCTTCAAATAATAGGAGTTAGCATTAAAAAGATTTGTAAAAAGATTGTATATATTGTTATAAATGGACATTGACAAAAATAATGAAAATGTATAACATTGTGTGGGTGCTAATTGGGGGTATTTTTCAATTATTTCTCTTGTCTCAATGTAAATATCAAATAATACTAGTGAAAATTGTTACATTGAATTTTTTTAAATTCTTATTTTAATTTGTTTTTTAGAATTAGTAATAGAAATTCCACAAAGCCAGAGATTTCTCCATGCTGAACGAATCACAAAGACAATAGTTGTTATTTCTGTAACTCAATGTTAATAATCACAGATCTTGTATCCTATAGATCTTTCCTCATACTACCCTATTGATGACTTAAGTCAGGACCATTTTCTCCTGAGCTCCTGAGGAAGACCCTATTCCAACTAGATAAGCCCTCAGCTTATGTTCCTCACAGCATCATTATGGGATCTTGTAGAACCTGTTTTCTTCCTCTAACCTTCTACTACTGGATCAGATATGCTTTATTCTTTTAAAGCAGTGACCCTTCTTCATATATGTTGGGGTTTCAGAACAGAAGAGCTTATTTTAAAACATTGATCTTCAGCTTCTAGCTTCAGTATTCTGTACCTCAAATTCCCTTAGCTAGCTATGTGACTAGCTATACATACCCGCTGTGGAAATTTAGCTCAGAGAATATGTATATTCATCAGGATAAGTTCACCCTTTGCTGGCTTTGTCTGTCGGTCGGTCTGTCTGTCCATCTATCTATATCTAAAATAAAACTGACTTGCTCATAATGTATATGTAATGATAACTCTCTATAACCTTTTGGGGTATTATGATTTTATGAAAGATTCAAGCAACAGGGGCACTTCTCCCTACCTAGAGGGAGATTATACTGGAGTCGGGAAAATTAAATATCCAGAAGAACATAATTGCCAACAAAGCATTTTATTCTACATCTTCCCTCTTACCTTCTTTCTTGATTTTGGAATCCTACTTCTATGGAGGAAAACAACATCATAAAAATATGGCAAACCAATCCTTTTATTTTAATTTCTATGATTGAGTCAAATATTGCCTGCTTTCCTCCTGTCTTGTGTCAAAAATAGAGTGGCTTTAGCATTTTTCTAATGGCACCTTAAGAATCTGCTCTCCAGCCATTCAGAGTTTACTCCCATTCATAAGTATGTTGATTTAATGCTGTTTTTTGCTGTTAATCTTAGAGATATTCTTTGTTGTATTAAACTTTTCTCCAATAGTGTGATTGAAGAAAAGCATAAATTTTTAATTCAAATGCTACATCCAATTGTAATTGGTGGTGAACTGAAACACAAATAGGTACTACATCTCTGTGTTTCAGTAAAATCTCAGGTGATTGAAGCTAAATATACATTTAATTTCTTGTTGAGGCTCCAGTTCAAAATGTGTTCTTTGTCTTTCCTCACTTTTTATTTTAAGTGGAGGTACTGGGGATTGAACCCAGAACCTTTCACATGCTAAGCGGGTGCCCTACCACTGAGCTGTACTCTCCCCTCTGTCTTTTCTCACATTTTTAAACTGTTGATTGCCCAGTATTAGCACCTGTATGAATACTTCTACTTCATTTAGTTTTAAAAACCAGGTGCCTGCCACTAGTCTTTTTTGTTTTTTTAAATGCAGGATTTTTTTCAATGGTTGAATTACAAATGCTGAGATTTTTCAAGCAGCTATTTCACTTTTGAAATTTAATGCTGTTTTGCTTTAAAAAAAAGAAAAGAAAAAAAACTTTTCCTGGAAAGCATTCATAGCCCTCTTTTTAGGCGTCACCAAAAAAAAAAAAAAAAAGCTCAAGGTTAAGCTGAAAGAGTTGCATTCAGTTTATTGACTGTTGAAGATCTCTGTTGCCTCTTGAAGCCAGTTTGAGACTATTTACTTAATTTCCCAAGTTTGCTTCTTCAAAAGTAAACACAGATTTCTCTCTTGAACTGTCTTTGACTTGCTCTGGATTTGATACTGGGGTTAGACATGAAGAGACTCAGTGGCATATAGGACAATTACTGTGTGGTATGTCCTTCACCCAGCACCTTTTGGAAAAGAAGATTATATTTGTTTTGCCTTGTGTACATATTTACCATAGGTGGTGTGATAGTGAAGAATGGTCTCTGTTGGTTTTAAAAACCAATAAATCGTTCCCTTCTTGTTTGTATTAGAAATAGACATTTACATTTGGCTCATTTCTCTTGTCAAAACTGCCATTTTTGTTTGTTTTTTATTTCTCCAAATGCAGTAGGCTTTTCCAAACAACGTTCTCTGTTGTGTAATTCAAGCTTATAACCCTATAAGTGGATTTCACTTTTTTATGCCTGAATTTCAGCATTTTTTTGGCTAGCTTAACTTCATTAGCACTTGTGGTTTTGGATGCACTTTGCAGGAACACTACCCATGTGGAGTCACTCTGTGCTTGATCCACTAGATTATATGTCTAAACCATCCAAATCAGATTTGGGCCTTTCCCTTCCCAAACTTCTTGCCAGAATACAGTGAACATCATTTTAAACATGTTTCTGTTCCAGACCACAGAGGTGAAGCTGGAATTCTACTAAGTTCAAAAACACATGTCTAAATCCATAGTTAATTCAGAACACATTAATATCATGTCAAGAAGTAATAGTAAGCATTCCTTCCTCCCTCCCCTTGGCCATTAGATTTACCAAACAATAGTTTGCTGTGTCGCTTGACTTGGGATAAGCAACTAGACTTCAGTTCTGCACCTGTTTTCCAGACTTTTCCCCTAGATTAATCTCCTCACTATCCATTGCATTCTTTGCATGGATAAAGGGGCTTCTTAGTAGAATCATTCTAAAGCTGTAGATGTTAAAAGCTCTTTTTAATAAATACATTTTAATAGTTTTTCTCAATAAAGCTGAGATTTTTTTATTGAAGAGTAGTTGATTTATAATGTGTTAGTTTCTGGTGTACAGCATAGTGATTCAGCCATATATATACACACACATATTCTTTCTCATTATAGGTTATTGCAAGGTATTGAGTATAGTTCCCTGTGTTATACCATAGGACCTTGTTGTTTATCTGTTTTTTTTATATAGTAGTTTGTATTAAAGCTAAAATTTTTAAAAAGCTCTTTATACTCCACTTAAACATGAGTTCTACCTAAGCATTTGTATATGCATGTATACTCTTGCAAAACGCATTAATCAGATATTTCCTAGAAAGTACCACAATCTGAGCAGGCATGACACACTATTTTCTTCAAAACAAAGCATTTGTTTTTTTTAAAACATTTTTTATTGATTTATAGTCATTTTACAATGTTGTGTCAAATTCCAGTGTAGAGCACAATTTTTCAGTTATACATGAACATATATATATTCATTGTCACATTGTTTTCTATGTGAGCTACCATAAGATCTTGTGTATATTTCCCTGTGCTTTACAGTATAATCTTGTTTATCTATTCTACAATTTTGAAATCCCATCTATCCCTTCCCACCCTCTGCCCCCTTGGCAAACACAAGTTTGTATTCTATATCTATGAGTCTATTTCTGTTTTGTATTTATGCAAAACAAAGCATTTCTAAGTGTTTTCCTTTTTTCCCCTCCAAGTGTAGAATTGGAAAATCAACAAGAAAACATTAGGCATTCTCTCTTCCCTAAAGGTTGTTTGGTAAGAGAATAGAATACTTGTGTAAAACAGCCACTTTGTTTTGAGCAGATCAAAGAGTGTGCTGATGAACCAGTTGGAAAAGGTTACTTGGTTTCCTGCTTGGTGGATCACCGAGGCAACATCACTGAGTACCAGTGTCACCAGTATATCACCAAGATGACAGCCATCATTTTCAGTGATTACCGTCTAATCTGTGGCTTCATGGATGACTGTAAAAATGATATCAACATTCTGAAATGTGGCAGCATTCGGCTTGGAGAAAAGGTATCTACTACACTGGTTTCACCAAAGGGGTCTTAAGAACTTCATGAAAGAAAAGCTTTTTTGTATAACCAGCATAAGAAAAATATAGGACTGGAGGTGAACTTAAAGTTGAGGTCCAGACAGCCCTAAGACCTAAGGCTGGTCGACCTGTGAATGCAGTTCATCTGTTTTTAAGAAAATGTTTCAGTAGTGTATAGGGAAGTAGAAGAATTAATATCAGTTAAGATTAATGTTATCTTAAAAATACAAAACCAGTTGCTGGGTATTTATAATGTTCCTCTGGAAAAGCATTATGTAGTCTTGTGGAAAGAGTAGTTGAATTAGAATAGACTTGAGTTCTCTGACCTTTTTTTGCATATACCTCACTGTTTCCCTAAAGAAAAAAATTACTTAAGCACATCAGTACAAAAGAAGGTATGTATTTAAATATTAGAAAATTTAAAGATACATGAAGGTACTTATAGCTTGTCAGAAGAAAGTTACTACATAAATGTACTACATAAATAAAGGTACTACATAATATTGTTATCTTTATCTCAGGAGAACTAATTTTAGTAAAGACAGGAAAGAAAATAACTACGTAGTTTCTTCTTCCTTAATTATATCTGATCTTATTTTTGTCCTGATTAGTCCGTTGTCCAGAAGGTCATAATGGAGGTTCAGCCAGGTTTATGCCGCATTTGTTTGCTCAGCAGAAATGAAAGAACTGCTGAAAAGAAGCAGATGCCAGTGGGAGAGGTAGTCTGAGACCTGTGTATGCCATCGGCTTTTAATTGCCACTGCTCATTAATCTGCTCTTTAGGAAATACGACAGAAAACAAAATCCATTTGTCTCTTTGCCCTCTATTTTATCAGAGCACAGTGGTTTGCAGGCTTCCATCACTGACCAGGGATACGTGGGGTTGGAATGCTGGAACTGCACGTACCAGTTCAAATGAAGGTTTGAGTGCTGGTTATTGTCTGGCTGTCACCAAATGCCCTTTGCTTCATACCAGCACAGGGCCCTGGCCCTTTCATAGGGCACCTCTGAGTCAGTCTTGAGAGCTTTGTGAACTTGGCATACAACTTTCAGGCAGCTAATGAAAGGCCAGTTTTAATAAAGAAGGCAGATTCTTTTTTTCCCCAGCACACTCGAAAAATGGGACAAAAGCATTTAAGTCACACTGATAATTCAGGAAGCTCTTCTGACTTTACTTAGGGTATTGGAGATTATATCCAATTCTAAACCTCAATCTCTTTAAAATCTTCACGTAAGTGTTCTAGACCTACTTTTCAGCAATCAGTGATGACACTTTTTCATATTTGTGATCAGTGGTCCATGCTATAGACCATTACAATTCACCTCTCTTTGTAGTTGTTCTTCCCTATTGCCCACCAAGACGGAATTTGATTCCCTTCCCAGTAACAATCTGAATTGTCAATATAAAACCTGCTTACAAAACAAAACAAAACTAACTCTGCTTGTAGCTACATGTATGAGTTACTAAGTCTACATTGATTGATGGCATTAAATACATTAAATGATGGCAGAAAATAGTAGTGCCAAATCCCAGAGACTTGACAGTAAAAATTGTATTTTTAGCTTTGTTAAAATAACCAAAAATGTTTTTATAGGCCATTCAAATGCAAATTTTGGTCCTTTTTATCTTTTGCTGTACCTGCCAGTTAGATAAATTTCTTTTTATACCAGGCCCCCACCCTAGCACCCTAGATGGACTCATGCCTGCACTTCTGAAAAAAGCAAGTTTCTTTCTATATAATCCACTCTGGTGCCACAGCTAAGTTTAAAAATTAGCCTGGCCTGTTCTCAGCCCTTCCTTGCCTTTGCTCACTATAGTTTACTTCTCTGAAGCCAGTTATTTAGAGAAGAAAATAATCCTGGAAATTAATGAATCAGCTTCTGACCACAGAAGAGAACAGGCTCATCAGCCTCAAATTTGTTGCCCGGAAGCTTGCAAACTCCTTTGTAACTGACTTTGAACTGACTTCCAAGGGTCAGAGGTGAGGGGTCATGGTTAATCTGTTTGTACCCTGCCTCTGTATGAACATATAAATGTCATGATTTCAAAACTATAATGATTTTTTTAATGTTAATATATGTAAATTTTAGAACAAAGACTATATATTAATAAAACCTTTAGGCTTTTCTAAATAAATATTGTTAAAATGAAAGAACAGATCTCCAAATCTTCAAAGTTGAGTATCATGCTATTATTTTCAAACTCTTTTTTATGATTCAGACCTAATGCTAGTGAGCATCTCAGTAAGTTATGGGCTACTAAATTTTGATATAGGACATTATTTTATAAATCATATTTATAATAACCTCTTATATACTATAAATAGTAAATAACTTATATACTTCTGTCCAAATCTGTGTTATCATAAGTTTATTTTTCCTTTGGGAAGTGGAAATGGGTAGGGCTCTCCTAAGTGTGCTAAAGTTAGGCAAGCTTGAGTGTCACTGATAAATTAGGAAGGAAATATAAGTCTTATTCTGGATTTCTAGGGTTTGTGTCTACTTTTCTCTTTGTCCTTATCTTTTTGTCACTTGTCCTTCGGAGTTTTATCTGTTCTGAATTACTCTCCAAAAGACCTTTTTGATCATATAGGTCTCTAAGCATTAGTTAGAATCATACAGCTAGTGAGAAGGTTAAGGTACAGATTGGGGACAGGAAGGCACAAGAATCTGCTGGAATAGTGTGCTTCCTGGTCTTTTGGGATCAGCAAGCCTTTTGAAAATTTAATGAAAGCTTTGAACTCTCCTCAGGAAAAACATACAAAACCCACATACAAATTGTGGGAGTTTCATAGAACCCCACGATCTGTAACAATAAACAGTGGACTGTTAGCTAGATGCCTTAGGTTCTGCAACTTGGATGAGTTGATAAATTCTTCTAGGCTTCTGTTTACTCATCTGTACAATGTATCACAGCTCTTATCCCGTTGTCATAGGTATATTAGGAGAGAACATGAACATTTTCATGGAAATGCTTGGAAGTTAATGTGCCATGGATCAAACCCTCTTAACAACAAAATGGAAAAAAAAAGTGCATTTTTTTGTTGAATTGAAATTTTGTTTAAAGTAGATGTTTCCCTACCTGGTGTTAGGAATCTTTTTTTATTATATACAGATGATTGCATAAGCATAGTATTTTACTATAACAAGATTTTGTATGCATATGTATGTGTCAGTAAATGATAGCACTGTATTTTCTGCTGCTTTGGTTTACTGTATTAATGGTTATAAGTTATTGAAGCATGTCTTCTGAGTATAAATGATTAGGACTCTTGAATAGAAAATATTTAGAGGAAACTTTTTTTTGTATTTTGAATGAATGCTTATTCTTGCTATGGAGTTGATGCGATGTACAAGTAAAGATAATTAGTTGGTTTTTAGAAAGCTCTCAGAAGCAGTTTGTCTAAATGATGGTAATCTTTTAAAATCACATTAAGATAAATCCAGAGCATCAAAGTGAATATTACACTACAGATTGTACATATTGGGATCTTTGTGGACCGTATAAAGTAGAAAGAAAGAGAAAGAGGGTCTCTATAACATCTTTTCTCAGTGGATTTTGTGATTTGTTTTTTAACTTGACTAAAAGCACTATTATTGGGGCTATACCTAGCCTTGGAGGTAATGCACAGAGATTTCTGCAGCGTTATTTCAGTATTGACATGAACTATTATCAGTGCATTGGGCTGATGTAATTTCTTTAAATTTTTCTAGCATTTTAAGCTTTAAAAAGTCAAGTTCCTGTTTCTAGTGCAAACTGAACTATACTTAATTTCCCCAGGGTCTGTATTTCCATTTGTAGTATGAAAGTGTTATATTCTAAGTGAAGATTATTAAGGGAGTTTTCTATAACTTCTACAATGTGGTTGGTTCCCACCCTATTTCTCAACAGAATATCCATAAGCTATTATATGTTGAATTAACTTTTCTTTTTTTAACTAAATGATATTCATTTGAAGTTTACTGTGGTGAGAGTTTTAAAATGTTAGTATCCTTGCTATTTTAGGACGCACATTCACAGGGTGAGGTGGTATCATGCTTGGAGAAAGGCCTGGTGAAGGAAGCAGAAGAAAAAGATCCCAAGATTCAAGTCTCTGAACTCTGCAAGAAAGCCATTCTCCGGGTGGCTGAACTGTCCTCAGATGACTTTCACTTAGACCGACATTTATATTTTGCCTGCCGAGATGATCGGGAGCGTTTTTGTGAAAATGTGAGTCAGCTCAGAAACTGTTCTTCTTTGCTTCCTTTTCTTCTTAAATTTTTTTTTATAGTTGATTCCAAAATGAAAACAACACAACCCCTTCACAGTTAGAAAAGCCACTGAAATGAAAGGTGGCGTTGGTCCCAGGATAACAGAAAACGATGCTGGCTGCTCAACTTTGTTGTAATATTTAGTTAACACTTGGCTTCAGACAATCTCCATACATTGTTTTTTCTATTTTATCTCACTTCCCAATTTCAATTCTTGGAAGTCTATTTTATCTATAGGAATCCTAGTTTACCCAGGAATCTCATGCACATCTATTCCATGGCTAAAACTTGGCCATATTACATATTTATATTTATGTAGTTTTGAAGGGGGAGGGTATAGCTCAAGTGGTAGAGCGCATGCTTAGTATGCACAAGGTCCTGGGTTCAATCACCAGCACTGCCTCTATAAATAAACAAACAAACAAATAAACCTAATTATCCCCCCAAAAAACTAATAAAAATTAAATTTAAAAAAATAAAAATATATTTATGTAGTTTTGGCTAAGACAAAGGAAACAGTACGTTTCTAGCTTTTAAAACCAAATCCTTGATTACTACCTGCAGACCCTATAAAACAACTTTCTAACAGTTTAGACAGAAACAGTCTCCAACTTTACCACAAAGGACTGAGAGGGCCTTGTATACACACACTCCCACTCTGCCTGCTGTTTTGAATTAACAGCTTTAACCATCAGAGCCATTGATCAGAGCCAATGCTAAGGTTTTATTGACTCTCGCATAAATTGTAAGAGGAGACTCACTGACACTTCTGTTGGTTTACTGATTAACAGCTTATCTGGGAACATATGACAGTAGCCAGACATCATGGGAAATTTATTTTCATCTTTACTGTGGTCGCTATTTTCTTTCAAAGGCTACTAAATTTTCTAAACGGCTGAGCCACCTGTTCAAAGGTAGTCACCATTTTAATAACTTAACAGAAAGTTCTATATAAGATAAAGCCCAGCATGACTACTTAGCTTGTGATGATGATGTTCTGTCTTACAGACACAAGCTGGTGAAGGTAGAGTATATAAGTGCCTCTTTAACCATAAATTTGAAGAATCCATGAGTGAAAAAGTAAGTATTACTTTGAAACAAGCCAAGATTTTATTCATTTTCTTAAAAGCTTTCTCAAATCCTCTCAAACAGTATTTTTATAAACCAAAATATAAAATACTGAAAAAGCTTATCCTTTTCAGAGATAAGATACTTGGCTTTTAGTAGAAAACTAAATCATATTTCACTTAAGCAAAAAAAAGGGAGGGGGCAGCTTTTCATGATATCTGGACATTGGGTAGCCAGTTGAGAATCATTTGGGGGAGTAAAATTGGAAAGTTTTATATCAGAATTACACTGAAACTATCCCTATACATTCAGAAAGTTTAGGCTAACCAAACCAATGTGCTACATAGGTAGTGATTTAATTTTTCAGCAGCTGTTACAGTAAGCATTCTTATTACTGTTTGTCCTCTATCCCTGGATGAATGCAAGAATCTTTTATGACTTTTGAAAGTAATTATTTTTGGCTTTGCTATCCTGTTTTTTACTTTCCTGTGCAGTTGAAGAAATATTTTTCATTTTAGTTTCTTGTATCATTTACTATTAAATAATTATATTTTAAAAGTATAGATAGAATGGAGCTTCTTTCAATAATTATATTTAAAAGGTATAAAATGTCAGTTTCCACCTTCATTCTGGTGAAATTTACTTTGAGGATATTGTTGAAGAGGAAAAGAATACTTTGTCAAGTTAATGTATTAGGATCTTCCAAATATGTATGTGTTTTGGAGAGTTGCTATTGCTGTAACAATTAGCAATTCACCATAAAATTCCAGAGTTTCCCACCCATTTGCCCGTGCTTCCTGTCACACTAGTTTAGCACACTTGTGCTCAATTTTAACCAAACTTAAAGACAGACATTTTGGTAACAACTGCAGTTGGACCGTACTTGGCCATGAGCCTCTGCTTGTCTTATAGGTACCTGTGAACGGCTGAGCCACCTGAGCAGTCTTACAGCTCTCTTTCTGCACTCTTTCCTCAGTGTCGAGAAGCACTAACAACCCGCCAAAAACTGATAGCCCAGGATTATAAAGTCAGTTATTCATTGGCCAAATCCTGTAAGAGTGACTTGAAGAAATACCGGTGCAATGTGGAAAACCTTCCCCGGTCTCGGGAAGCCAGACTCTCCTACCTTCTGATGTGTCTGGAGTCAGCTGTGCATAGAGGTAAGAATTAATTTCTTTTTATCCTTTTCATTCTTTTTTTGGATAGTTTCCTCCTTTGTTGGCTTTTTTGAGTACATCTGTACCTTGTGACTCAGGAGCCTTTCCTTGGAAACAGAACTTTAGAATGAAGGCTTGGTATCCCTAAGCTTTGTTGAAGGCCCTTCCTCTTAGCTCAGTAGTCCTCAGTTTTGTTTTTCTTTACATCTCAGCTTTTTTTTTTTAAGTATATTTCTCAAGTCCAAATTTTAATTTTTAAAATGCACATTGCACAGAAATGTTAAGGAGAGTCAGGGCAGCATAATGATTTGGCACATTAGCTTTGGGTCAAAGCTTTGGCTCTGTCACTAGACTAACTGGCTGGGTGACCATTGTTGATGTTTCTTAATCTCTCCAAACCTCATTTTCCTTATTTATAAGACAAAAATATATTACCTATGTTGAGTTCTTACGAGGATTGAATGAGGTTATTTGACATGGCACTTAGCATACAATAAATGATAGATACTATTATTATTCTAACAGTGGTGATATCAAGAAATTAAACAGTAGAAGAAGAAAGGATTACTTCATAAGGTCAGACTTATAGTCTGTTCAGTTCAACAGTCAGTCTCTGACAAAGGAACCGAGAAGGACGTATAGAAGGTCAGGGCTGTCTTTCTCAATATTCGCTGTAGGCTGTAAAAATGAAATTCCTAGCTGTTGAATAAATAGTGCTGGGGCAATTGGCCAGTGATTAAAAAATTAAGTGGAAAAAATCAGTTGTTAAAACTCAGAACTTTTTGGTGAATTTTTTTTTTCATGTTTGGATAGTGAAAGACTCCTAAGCCTGAAAGCAGTGGAATAGCAACCAGAGACAGTGCATGGTCTTGGGTTGAATACCAAACAAAAGACACTTTAGAGGCAGTTGGAGAATTTTGATTATGGCCTGGGTGTTTCATGAAATTTTCCTGAAGTGGAAAGGTAGAGATTGTTGACTAGTAAAAGCATATTATGAAACAGTATGCGTAATATCTAATTTTGATATTTAAAAATAGAGAGTTAATCTCCTTAAACTATAAATTAATAAACACAAAAAGACTTTGTAAATAAATGGCCAAAGTATATGAACAGATAGTTCAGGAAAGTTATACAGATTGCTAACTAAAAAGACTTAACCATACTGAAGGTTGGCAAGGATGTGGAATAACTGGAACTATACTGCTGATGGGAATTTAAAATGATACAGCCACTTTGGAAAATAGTTTGTCAGATTCTTAAAAAGTTAAGCATAAATCTACCTTATGACCCAGACATGTAACTCCTAGGTATTTTTATTTTATTTAAGATATGTGAAAATATATGTCCATATAAACTCTTGTGCATGAATGCTCATAACAGCTTTATTTGTAGTGGCCCAAAACTGGAAATAACCCATATGTCCATCAGTGGTTGAAGGGATAAACAAATTGTAGTATAGCCATGTGATGAAATAATATTATTTAGCAATGAAAAGGAATGTGCTGTGTGATGCATGAATGAATCTCAAAATAGTTACGCTGAGAGAAGTCAGAAAAAGAGTTCATACCATATGATTCCATTTATTTAAACTTCTGAAAAATGCAAACTAGTAAACCAATCTGTAGTCACAGAAAGCAGATCAGTGTTTCACTAGGGGTGGGTGGGTAGGATAGAGTCTAAAAGAAGGGAGGGATTCTAAAGGAGCATGAGGAACCTTTTGGGATTGATGGATTGTTCAGTATCTTGAACTTGTGGTGATGGTTTCACTGATGCGTACATTTTGTCAGACTCATCCAATGGTATGTTTTAAAAGTGTAATTTATTATATGTCAATTATTCCTTAGTAAAGCTGTTTTTAAAATTTCATAAGTTTTCCCAGTTGGCATTTACAGCTTAAGGAAGAGTGAAGAAGCTATAGTGAATATTTGAAGTGAGGTCTTTTCCACAAACTAAAGTGTGCAGACCAGTAGGGACTTTTCTGGCTTTCATTTCTACCCCAGTAGTTATCTTATTGATTAGACTTCCATTGGTGAAACATTTGTGTTATTAGTTCAGTAGTATAAAATCTGTATAAGGCAGAACACTGACAAGATAAGCCCTGGTCTTTGGAGTCTTAAACTCATTTTATGCTGATAAAACGTTTGCTAAATTCTAAGCTTTTCAGTCTAGATAATAGTGTGAGTAGTATGTTATATTCTAAGGAAAAATGTGTACTTCTAATATGTGATGCTGTCTGATCCTGATGCTCACCATCCATTATGCTATGACTTAAATCCTGACTTAGGGCGACAAGTGAGCAGTGAGTGCCAGGGAGAGATGTTAGATTACCGACGCATGTTGATGGAAGACTTTTCTTTGAGCCCTGAGATCATCCTGAGCTGTCGGGGGGAGATTGAACACCATTGTTCTGGATTACATCGAAAAGGCCGAACCCTTCATTGTCTGATGAAAGTAGTTCGGGGGGAGAAAGGGAACCTTGGAATGAACTGCCAGCAAGCGGTAAGGAAAGATTTTTCTCCTGCCATTTTTAATGTTATATTTTATCATCTGAGGAGCCTTTTCCTAACACTGTCCCAGCTTATTTTTCTGGAAAATTTGTGACATCACAGTGAATCTTAGGTACTAAGAACTAGACATGGAATAGTGTATCTTCAAGCATATTATAGTAAGAATGTGGTATTTGCTGCAGAGCAGAAATTTGAGCTCATAATCAATAAAAAGAGCTAGACAGTGTACTTAAAGAAATAGATAAAATGCATTGTTTGCTGGAGTTTTTAAGGAAAAGGTAACTGGCTAGATTGGATTTACTAAACTCAGAATCAAGGCACACCAGGTTCTGGTCAATCACAAAAGGTCTTTCATCAAATGAGAATTTGCCTGTCTCACCTGATTTGATTGAGTTGAACCTGAAAGAGAGCTGAAATGAGCTGAAATTTTCTGAGTCTCTTTTTTTATTACTGATGTGCAACATGGCATGAATTCCTGGCCTGAACAATCAAGAAAGCATGTCATTTTCAAAATCCCACCATCTTTCCTTGTTCGACTAGGACACCTATGCATGGAAAAGGTCTTTCTTTCTCTACCCGCAAACTCTACAGTCAGTTCTACAAAGATAGTTGGAAAAAAATAGCATGCTTCGCTGTAGAAGATCAAGTTATTCTTGATCTAGGGTTCACAAACAGTTAACTAACTATAGATCAGGTACATAATATAAATTAAACAAAATATTACAGACACATTGCATCTGTTTCATTACCATTGTCCATGTTTATTACTTTTTACCAAGCAAGAGTCTTTGAACAATTTACAGTACCAAATGTAACAGTGGTAGCACCCTGTGCAATGAATTCTGTAGTTTCCTATACTTTCCTTTAGGAAGTGCAAAAGATAAAGTTTAGCCTTATATCCTAAATTAAAAGGTTGAGGCTCTCTCCCAAGTGAAACTTTAGAAAACCACAAATCATTAGTCTTTTACTTTTGTTGTTGGCATTTTTATTAAAAACTGAATATTGAATTTTATTTTACTGCTAATTTTGTAAAATCAGAATTTTACAGTCTGAAACACAAAATTTCCATAGAATTTTAATGTGGAATAAAATTTCATCTTAGCTTCTATTACTCACCCTGACCTGGAGGGGACAGTAACATATACATCCATAGTGGGAAAGATAGACAAATGTATCCTCCTCTCCAGAATACCAAGACTAGCTAGAAGGAGGGCTTCTGGACATAGTTCCTCAGGAGTGGTCCTTGCTGGTGATCGTCCTGGGCAACCTCCATGACAGTGTGTGTGCCTGGGCCCCAGACCAAGAATAAATCAAGACAGTTCATCCTTAATGCAACATAGAAAGGGGACAGCAGTGGTCAGGGATAAACTTACATTTTTACTGAGGCTTCACGTTATTCTAAGGTGTACAGAAAAAAGAAAATAAATTGGTTTGACTTTACTTCAAGTCATCTAGTTTACCTCCTGGGCTTTTTGAAATTTAGCTTATTAAAAGAGCTAGTGACTCAACTAGGGAGAGAAATAAGTACCGCCCACCTCATCTTTTGTGCCCACAAGAAAAGTGCTTTCCACACCCAGCGGTTAGTCTCAAAAAGTGAAATATGTGGCTTTGCCCACAGTAAGTTTAGCCAAGTGGGCAAAAAGCACTTCATTTTGGGTTTTTGTGAATCTGTGGTCTTTAGCCTTTGCTTACAAAAATTGAAGGAATAAATGATCCAAAGGGAGAAAGTTTTCCTTAGTCTTCTGCTTCATTATCCCTCTCCAGTCAAATGGAGGAATGTTTTGAAATAATTTATTTTTCAAAGTTTTCTTCCTTAATTCAGTAGACTTCTATACTTGTCTGTGGTTGACCATTAGTTTTCCTTATTCTCTGCTTGGTGATGCTTTGATTTAGTTATCTCTCAACTAACAGTAAACTGTGAAGCACAAGAATAATTATTATCTTAATTAGTATATACTCTTCCAAATACACTCTGATCATGATCTTAAGTTCCCCTCATTTATGGCTGAACAAGTCTGGGCCCAGTCTTTCCTTCACCAAAGAGACTGCCCAGTCTGTTTTCTAGACCAATCATTTCTTGATATTTCAAGCATCTTCTCAGGTTTTCCTAAGCAATCAGGGGCAGGAATAAGATGTGTGATCATGTAGCAGTTCATGTTTAGTGTTTACTTCCCACACTGCTGTCATTGGATTCCAGAATGGCAGTGATCCCTTGAGCCGTTAGCCTCAAGAGTCTGTAAGGCATTCATTATCTTCTTTTAGAACCTGCAGTCTGACATGCATGGAGAATTCTCAGAGTTTGCCTGTCAGTCGTGGATATTTAACTGATACAGTTATTGCAGAAACTTTCAGATTCCCATGATGCTTACAGTCCCTCAGAAAAAGATGTAAATACTTTGATCTCTGTCAGCAAACGTCATAACTAAAAATGGTAGTCGTTTGAGAGTAGTAGTAATCTTCCTACTAACTAACCACAGCATTTTGTGGCTTCTCCAAATTGCCACCAAGAACTGGTGTAAGTAACTTTCATCCCAGAATATTGGAAGTCTTTCATACCTCTCTTAATTGTTTGCTTCTTTTAGGATAGACAGAATTGGGGTTTTCTTTCTTCATTTCCTTTTGATCTTTGTTCTTGGATCAAGTATGTGTTGGGGTCAGTGCTTTCATATGAGCCCCTGTAGGATTGTAAGTCAAATGTATGAGGATCAGAGAAGGCTCTTGCAGAGGCTAAATCCATGGCACAAAATGGCTCCACTTCTCTAACTTGGAAAAAAAGGAACCCAAACCAGAAGGACTATAGTTTTCAAACTTGCTTTCTGTTATTTAAGATTCTCACCCCAAAACACCATCTGCTACCCATCTGTAGTAATAATGATCTTTCACATCTGTAAAATGCTTTGCAGTTTACACAACCTTCTATATATTATTCTTCCTTCTAATCCTCTGCAGTTAAAGAAACGAGCTTAGAGGTTAATCAACTTGCCCATGTTCTCAAAGCTAATATCTGGCAGAGCCAGAACTCTTAATAGAACTCAGGTTTTCTGATCCTTAATTTAGAGCTTTTTCTTCTATGCTCCAACTGCTTTCTCCTCAAAGACAGGAAGAATCTGAGGCATGGCTTTGGTGCTCTCACTTTATTCCATGGACCAAGCAAAAGAAAACGTTAAAGAATATATTTTCATGTTCAGCTGCATAATAGCAAGTATTTTTCTGTATAGTTTAGTGAACAAGTTCTGGTTTATCTCTTGTTTATATGAAAGATAGCTGAGGAAAAATAGGAAATTATAAGTAGTATTATATTCTTGTTTTTGCTAATTTATGTTTTCTTTGCAACTGAAAACTCACATCTGTTTTTAATAAAGCAGAGTACACTTGTTTTATACCAGTGTCTTTGCAGCAAAATTTAAATTCTAGATTCTAAAGACCAAATTAGACCTCTAACTGGAAATGTGTCTTCCGTTTACTCTTCTGCATTCAATTCTGGCTTGGCTCTGGGTGTCAGATTTAGTAATTTGATTAACAAATGTAAGGGAAGAGACCCCTTTTATATTTTAAAGTCCTTTTGTTTTGCAAATGTCCAGGGATGGTTTAGACAGGTAGGCAGGCAATCCCTACAATGACTTAAATAGAAAAACTTGCAATCCAAGTAGAGAAACCAGTTGGAAAGTGTTTGACAGAGCTGTTGAGCTTGGCCAGTGATAATTGTAGTACCTTGTTAAGAGTATGTTATAATATATCAGACTGAGAACTGATTGAAAAGATGACCTTGCTCTTTCTATATGTGTAAGTGACTTTCTTTCTTCCTTCTTAAATTTTTTTTAATCCAGCTTCAAACACTGATTCAGGAGACTGACCCTGGTGCAGATTACCGCATTGATAGAGCTTTGAATGAAGCTTGTGAATCTGTAATACAGACAGCCTGCAAACACATAAGATCCGGAGACCCAATGTAGGTTATCTTATTTGTGGTATTTATCCAAATTGTACTGTATTGGCAGTGCAGCACAGGGAGCATTTCCTCAAATGACTTTCAGATGGTTTAACAACTGAACTGAAATTTTGTTAAATAGGAACACTTTTCCTAGCTTTTGTTAAAGCTAGTATTGGGGTTGAGACTTCATCTCTGCGTCTCTGTGATGTAGAGAACCTAGACCCAGCATTGTTGACAGTGACTGAGCATAAACAGGCCTAGACATTAGGTCACTGAATAATTCCACTTAACAGTCAAATAAAAATGAGAAAGAAATGCTCAGGATACAGTTACACAAGCTTTGGTTCTATGCTTTTCATCCTGTTTGTATATTGATGCATATATATTGGCTATTTGATTATTAGAAAGTAACTAATTACAATTGAAATAAAACACAAGATGTGGTGGTTGGAGGAGGTAGTCATGGACAAAATGAACTCTGAAGTTGCATCCACTATCAAGGAAAGCTATAAAATGCTATAGTAAAGCATTTGAGTCTCATGCATTGGTTTTATTCCATATGATGTGCAAACAGCTCTTAAAACTAGGTTGTGAATAAGGACACATTCCCATTCTGCAGAAGTCTCTATAGCCTGCATCTAGCAGTACCCAACTGAATAAAACAAATGCAGTCCATGCTTCTCATCATTCTACTGTGCATACTCTCCAGCTGTTTGTGCTGTGGTAGGAGATTTTAAAAAGGTGTTCTTCATTAAAGCTCTTTGTGTGATTGGAAGAGGTAGACACACTCTTAAGATTGATTAAGAATATTCGCCAATATGAAACTGCGTCAACCATAAAGAGGACAGGGGAAAGGAGCTGCTACAGGTTAAATAGATTTAAGATTCTATAAATACAATGCAGGGTGTGGGCCTTTTCTGGGTCCTGATTTGAACAAACATGTAAAAGGCATGAGATAATTGGGGGTGAAATGAAAGCTGACAGGTTATTTCATGATGTTAAGGATTTTTAAATTAATTTCTTTGGTGGATAATAGTATAATGTTTTCATATTACAGAGAAACATGCTGAAGTATTCACAGATGAACTGTTAGGATATCTGGGATTTGCTTCACAATATCAGCAAGGGCATATAGGATTGAAACAAATTTGGCCATAAGTTGATAAGGCTATTGGAAGGAAAGGTGGATATTATATGATTCTCTACTTTTGGATGTATTGGAAATTTTCATAATAAACAGTTAAATATAAAGCAGCTGCACAGCGATCTTATGCAAGCCGAAGTGCTGTGAAGTTGAAAGAAGACGTGATCACTGTTAAGTTGAGTTAATTTGAGTGATTCTTAGGGAAGTAAATCCCTGATTGCCCTCAGAAAATAGCTCAATGGCTTTTTCTACAGACCAAAGAAATACTGGTGTGAGAGTTCTGAACTATTCTTTATCTGGTTACAATTTCACCCCTGTGTCATGCCCAGGATCCTCTCATGTCTGATGGAACATTTATACACAGAGAAAATGGTGGAAGATTGTGAACACCGTCTCTTAGAGCTGCAGTATTTCATCTCTCGTGATTGGAAGTGAGTATTTTGAAGTCAGAGTAAGTATAAGCCTTAGCCTATTCTCCTGTATAGTAAGAATCCCTTGTGTTTTTAAAAAATAATCAGTAGGAATTTGTTTTTGTTGCATTCCAGGATAGCTGACACTCTAATCCCCAGAAAACCCCCTTTCTTGCTTTCAGAACAGTACCTAAAAGCAGAGACAGCTCCTGCAGGTCTGACCCCAAGTGTACCCCTTCACTGCTACGTTTAAAGTTAGTGTAAAATGTTTCTGATACTACAAACATCTGTCTGGAGAGAACTTGGGCACCTGTGGGGCAGCAGAAGCATCTTCAAATATGTCTCTAAGAAGATAATAGTACATTTTTTATTTTATTGATTTGCACTGGGAAGGGGAGTTTGCTTTATCTCTTTAACTATTCAGAGTTATTGAATTTATTCTATCTTAAGAGGCTCTTATCAATAAGTAACGAGTTGATTCTCTTCTCATCCTGTTAGCCAGAAAAAGGGGGAGGCAGATGAAATAGAAGTCTCTTTGTTACAATCAGAATGGCTATAGTTTATTGGCAGCATTCCCTCCCTCTTTCCATGTCTCACTTTCCCTTCCCACTTCGGGATCAGGCTGTACCTCCTGCCTCCCAAGTTCAGCTGCTTCCTGATTCAATTGTTTTAAGCCACTGTACTTTGGTCATTTAACTTTTTCTGGTGACTAATATATGTTTATCCACATACGTTACTGGAAAGAGATTACTTGAAGATTTGGTGTGTTTCTATTTCTGTTCCCTCAAATTAAGTCTGGAAAGGACTTCAGAAAGCTGAATAGGAATTTCCCTGTGTTTATTCAGGCTATCTAAACCAAAATAATAAATGAGTTGACTGGGTTTACTACATTAAAAAAAATGTTTTTTCCTCTTCTATAATTCCTTCATCCACGATCAAAAAATGCTTCACAATCTGTAAAGCCACTTATTAAATTTTAGCCTTTTTCCTCCCATTGAATAGCCCTCCCCCAAAGTTGACATTATAATATGGGCATAATTAAGCATCCATTGGTCTGATTTGGAGATGCAGCAGGCTCATCACCTAATCCACTGTCTCCACAGTCAAAGTTAAATTGATAAGCATGTTTAGGTAAACTAAAAACATAACTGCCTTACCTTGCATGGGAAGAAGAGGAGGAACAGTTTTACTAGAAAGGAACTTGAGTAGGAGATTCCTCTATTCATTTTGTCCTTGATCTTATAGAATTTAGTCTATCAGGTAGGATTGAATTTTACTCACTTAGAAAAAAATATTGAGTAAAAGTTGTAACTTGCCTGGTGATAGCTACAACCCTCATTGTCTCATTTCAACCAGGGCATGTTAATACCAAATCTGTTACTGTAATGTTGTGTGCCTTACCTAGCCGAGATACCATCTTTGAGATAGAACTTAAGTCTTCTGTATTAAGGTTTAACAGACTTCTACAGATTGACTACTGTGTGTTCGTGAAGAACAAATTCAGGTATATACTTTTGCTTACCTGCTGTTTCCATTACTCTGGAGGTGACTGTCTGTGAGAGTACAAACAAGCACCTTGCAAAAACCCTTAGTGTGTGTTGGAAGGAAAAGTGTAGTAAGAGTGGTCATTTTTTTTAACTCTTACCCTTATAGGCTAGACCCTGTCTTATACCGCAAATGCCAGGGAGATGCATCTCGTCTTTGCCACACCCATGGATGGAATGAAACCAGTGAACTCATGCCACCGGGAGCTGTGTTCTCTTGCTTATACAGACACGCCTACCGCACTGAGGAACAGGGCAGGAGGGTATGCACTCAATATTGACTTCATTTCTTCTTATTGTCATTTGTTTAGTTTGCTATAAATTGTAATTTCTGTCATCCTCGGAAAACTTTGCTAGTATATCTGGTGGGGAGGGGGTGCTGCACTACTAGAAATTTCTTCATTCATTCACTTAACAAAGTGAGTCAGGGTACATTTCCACTTTTTCTTTAAATTACCAAAATCTAAATCACAAGTAGACAATTAAATTCTACTGCCCTAAGTTTATGTAACTTTTAAGATCCTTTAAGAAACTCTTAGCCAAGATATAAATGGTTTTCTCTGCCCTTGGCAGCAGAACCCATGTGCCTATATTGATTGGGGCCTCTCCAACAGTACACTAGGTGGAGCTGAAACCTCCACACCTCAGTCTCTTGGTATTTGTCTGCCCTGGTTGCCACCTCTTGTTGGGATATTTCTGTGTGCTAGGCTCTCAAGCAACATTTGCTGCCTTCTGGTGCCTCACTGACGTACTACTTACTGTCCAGGGTGGCCTTTTTAAACCTTCTGAGATAATCTGTTGCATTTCAGTCCTGCATTTGTTACAGAAAATAGAAGGGGTATTATTTGATATGCATGTTTACAAATACCCCTTTGGAGCTTAAAGCAAAAGTCTGACTGTTTAGGAATCAGAATGAAAAGACTCAAACAGAAATAAATGTCATATACTTCAGTTACTGCAGTCTTAACCCAGTTTTTATATTGCTATGTAAGAAAATATGGGAATTTGTTATAACTTTTTCTTCATTAAATGAGCCTGTCATTAATCAGAGGAACTCCTAAATCCTGGCACCTTGGTAGTCACTATAGTAGGAGGTTCCTTGTCTTGTAAGTAAAGAAAGGGTTGGAATCTGGTGTTTTTAAAAATATGTTTCTGTTTAAAAATGTTTCTTCTAATCATTTTAGAAAGAAAAATTCGGTTGCGTTTAGTACATTCACAAAGTTGTGCAACTGCCTCCTCTGCCCACTTCCAATATATTTCCTTGTCTCCAAAAGGAAACCCCCATGTCCATTAAGGGGTTGCTCTCTACCCTCTCAGTCCCACTTCCCCGCACCCCTTCAAGTTGTGTTGGTTCTTTTAGGAGAGACTGACTGTACCTGTCAGTGACAGCTTTCTTACAACTCTTCCAAAAATACTGGTTTTCATCTGTTTCACCGTCTGCTAATTCTCACTAACTCATCTGAAAAAGTCTGGTTCTGACGTGTAGTAACTGTTTCCTACTTGTTCTGAGTTTAGGTAAATTTGAGCTCAGTTCTCCTGAGCCAAGTGTTTATTCTTGGACCCAGCATTCTACTCTATGTTTATAGAGTAGTGGCAAATTAATTTTGCTAAACAAAAAACTTTACCTCATCTGAAAAATTCCAGTTCACTTTTTAAAAATTGAAGTATAGTTGATTTACAGTATTATATTAGTTTCAGAGGTACTTCAATCCTAGTTCACTTTTTATCAGGATACTCTGAGAAGAGGATATTGTTTCATATACTATATTAGAAAATGCTGAATGTGTAATCTCATACCTAGAGATAAAAGGTTTTTAGAAGCCTCCTAGAATATTTAACTTTTATTCTGGAAGTGATTCGAGGTATAAAGTTTGATTCAAATCCCTATAAAGTTATTTATTAGTTTCCTGACAGTAGATTTGCATTATCCTAGTGTCTTTTTGTTTTGGTTTTGGTACCTTTGAAGTATTTTGCTTGTTATTTCTCATGTAGCTCTCCCGGGAGTGTCGAGCTGAGGTCCAGAGGATCCTGCACCAGCGGGCCATGGATGTGAAGCTGGATCCTGCCCTCCAAGATAAGTGCCTGATTGATCTGGGGAAGTGGTGCAGCGAGAAAACAGAGACTGGACAGGTAGGCAACAAAGCTACCTCCTTATCTTATAGTAATAATAATGTTTATGAGTAACATTTTATGTAGACTATAAACACCGTTAAAATCCATCTCCATTAAATGTTTACCTCGTGAACATGATTTGTTATATTATTCAATGTTTCCTCTATAAGAAATCCTGAGGAAGGTATTCTCTTCGATCTCTATAATGGTACTTTTCCAAAGCAGTTAGTTTGTTTTTATGTTATAGTTACGGTGTTTCGTAATTGATTCTTTTCCTTTTTGTGTTGCCTCTTAAAAAACCTGGAGCCAAAAGTATGGCCTACCTCTAGGAAGTATATAAGACCTTGTGGTAGGCATTTTGTGTACTTACTACTGACTTCATCCCGCTTTCCTTAGCACATTTCCCTTTTACTCATTTTTAATTTATTTTATCTGGCCTTTTTTTTTTTTTTCTTTTCACTTTTATAAGCCACATGAAGTCCTTTGGAGGGAAGGCAGGGTATAAATATATGCACAGATACGTAATACTGACATGCATCAATGTATGTATGCCCTACAACTGTCCTACAAGATATATAGGAATGGAATTATTTTTTCCACTTAATAATTGATATAATTGAGGCTCAGAGAAGTGAAGTATATTGACTTTCTTACCTAGAATTCAGGTCTACTCCTAGCTAGGCATTTGTTCCATTATATTATTTATAACCTCTCCATCCAGGAAAGTGTAGAGAAGGAGCAGCCCCAAGAATTATATGCATGCTATGAATGGTTTCTTAGGATTTTGTGCCTAGTTTTAAAAAAAAAGTAAGTTATTTCATTCTAGCAAATTAAGTCAGAAGGTAGTTTGTCTTCTATCTTAAGACAGGGTAACCAAGCAATGGGGGATAGCTATTTGTTTAAAGCCCCTTTAATACTAGAATAAGGCACGAACTCAGGTTTCCCAGTACCATTTGTACCCTCCAAAGCACTCTCTAGGGTTAAACTAATAAAAAGTCACATGTGCAGGAATTGGACATTTTTAAAAAGCATTATTGCCTACTCAGATCTGTTGGGCCTGATAATAGCTTTTACAGCAGTCTATTTCTGGGTCTACTAGAGTTCTGTTGAGTTTATTGTTAGAAAATGCCTGTAGTTCTAGCTTTCTGTTGCCTCTGTCTAATGAAACAAGGGATGTGCTCATGCAGAATACCAGGAGACATTTCCTTTCATACCTGCTGTAAAGTAACAGTGAGAAAGCTGCACTACCATACAGCCCATCCCTGTGCAGCTGAACTTAGGAAAGGAGTCCATGAGTAGAATTTTCCCCTTAGCCATTTATCTACTCCCAAAAGTTTTATACATTTTCCTTTAGGGTTTTTTCCCCTCTTTCTTGTTCCTGTGTTAATTCCTATGATCCTTCTCCTCTTTCCCATTCTGATTCCAAAAAAGAGAGATTCTTGCAGAATAGTAAGTTAAACTTGATCCGTTAACAGAGCCCTTAGCTTAGAAATAGCTGTTGATGTGCTTTGGGAAAGAAGGCTAATATAAAACGTAAAACCTCTAATTCTCTAAAAGGAGTAGTAATAGACTGACATTACAAGGTAACTCCAACTTAGTTTCCAAAGCCCAGGTAAGACAGCTTTTAGATACGCAAACCCTGATGTACTACTCACTTGTTTTGCAGTTACCCTCAGAAGATCCTTTTATGTGGGCTAAGGTTAGAATCCCAGATTTGACTTGCAGGAGCTATTGAGTCTCTATTGTGTTTCAGACCCTGGATCCCAACCTACTTTGCCCATAAAGAGTCTTAAAAAATTTATTTCATGTCTTTCACTGTGAATTTTTTGTCCTATGATCATTATCAAAAAGCAAATGAGCAGGGTGTTGATGGAATGGAAAAAAGGCCTGATAAGATTTTTAGACTCTGAGGACATCTGAACATTGATTCTTGCTGGACTTACCAGTTTGGCCTTCTAGGGGATTTGCATGGCTGTTGTACACCCTTGACCCTCTTAACACCCTGTTACAACAAGTAATTATCTTTTCAACGATCTTAGTTTGGGGAGTCAAAAGTTTTAGCATTCTGTTCAATGAAGTCATTTTAGAAAGAAAGAAAAGGAGGACCACTGAAAAGGAAGTAAACAGTGGTATCTCAGCTTCCCTTGATCATTTATATAACTGACAAATGCTAAGGGATTGCGTTTTTATTTGCAGGAGCTTGAGTGCCTCCAGGATCATCTTGATGACTTGGCTGTAGAGTGCAGAGACATAGTCGGCAACCTCACCGAGTTAGAGTCCGAGGTAACTCTTGGAAGGAGAGTGCCCTGTCAGCAGCCTTTCTTTTCTTCTTAGTTCTGCTGTTTCTGTACTCTTGAGTGTACAGATTCTTTGTAGAACAAAAGAAACCTTGTTAGCTTCTCTGTTTGCTTTATAAAGAATATTGTGATGCTTCCTGAACCCCCTTTCCTGATACCTCCAGCAAAACACTATGCACTTAGCCCTTCAGTTTTCTTCATAAATTAGAATTATGACAGTGACAAAACCAATTTTTTTTCTCCTTTAAGAAAAGATAGCAGCTATACTTCAGCTCTCTTAATCACTTTCAAGACTAGTCCAAGCATTCCTATTCTGTCATCCTTAGCTCTTTCAGTTAGGTCATTTGGTAATGTTTGCGTGTTCACTGAAATAAAAGAAAGCCTGGGACTTGCAGTAAACATGGAAGATAAGGCCTTCCTCCTGCCTTTTGAGAAGGCCTGCATTCTGTCTACGGAATGAGTATCTCCTAGGCCTCTTGCTCTCTCATCTCCAGAGACAGCCTTCGCTTGGTCTATGGAGTATGCATCTCTCCGAATAAGTCTGCTTTTACTAAAAAAAAAAGGAAGATTAAATATGTGTGATTAGCCCTGTTTCATTCTGAACCCTACAGGGAGGAGAAAAGATTAAAAGATCTCATAAGCATAGGCACATTATTTCAAAATACGGAGATTATTTCAGGGGCAGTTAAAATTGTCTTGTGGGGGCAAAAATTAGAGAAACAGAGAATTGCTGTTTTTTTAATCATAAGCCTTTTAGAACTATTTAAGTTGTCAAAATTGGGAATACAAAAAATTACATTTCTCAGGGTCTTTTTTTCCTTTGTATTTTTCAAACATGTATCGCCTTCTTTTATCTTCTGTCATCTCCTCGCTCATTCTCATTGTCCTTGTTGGCTAAGGAGGGCATTCTAGGGTGTGTGACTCTTTAAAGGGAAATGTTATTTCAGCGGCTAGTGCCGCTCAGCAGTTACTCTGCTTGAATGTGTTTAGTGTGTGTTCCCCAGTAGTTTGTCATCTGGTTTAAAGACAGGATGATAGATGTCAGTTACTCCTATTTTCATTTTGAACTGCTTAGCTTTTGGGGAAATCTCCAAACGCTTTACATACTCTAATATTATTTTTAAATGTTTTCTTCTCCCCCAAATTCTGCCTTTTCTCTTGTTCGAGCACAAGAGGAATTTGCCTCTAGAAAACTTGCTTTTCAAAGTGTATTGAAGGTGTGTCCCAGGAGGAGCATGGAGCTGCTCTTCTGTCCGTGCTGGAGCCGTCTCACTTAAATACTAGAATAGTTTCCAAATGTATATATTGGATTATTTTCCCATCAGATGATACTCATTCAGAGAAAGAAAATTGCTCCTCCTCCACCCCTGACTCTTTCTAAAGCAGAATTATAATATATTTAATCTTCTGTAGGATATTCAAATAGAAGCCTTGCTGATGAGAGCCTGCGAACCCATAATTCAGAACTTCTGCCACGTAAGTAATGTCTGGAGGAACAAAGGTTAGAAACAGAACCAGTTTCACTGGGGCTCTGGCCCCCACGTGTGTTGGACTCATCTCTGTCTTCAGCATACATTGCTCCTGAGTGATGGCCAACTTTGATAAGTTAAAGTTGAAAATGTAAACAGCATCAGGAGGGGGCCACTATCCTGGGAAACCTCATTTGTTTAACCCTTTGTAGGTGATCAGATTAGTGGTTAGCATCACTTAACTGAGAAGCCCTTTGTAAGGAAAGAGAGGAGGGAGAAACCCCAGTAGCAGGACTGAGTTGTTTCCATACAAACAGCTGGAATTTGTTAGCAGGAAGGTAACTTCCCCTTCTAGCTGTCTTCTTGTACCTGGTGTTGAGGGAATTCTGTTACTTTATCACTTCAGTCACTTACTGAACTACCTAAATTGTGGGAGTAAAACACATCCAGGAAGCACAAGGATCTGACAACTAGGAGGTGATGTTAGATGTTATCCCAAAAGCCAGCTGCCAGCATCGTATAAGGAAAGGAGTTAAAAGCATTGCATAGTGCATGTTCTTATCGGAGCTTCATGCAGGGCAATTTGCTGTGTAAATTTTGTTCCTCTAAATGTTTATCCTTTGTGATTTCTCAGGCTTATTTTGACATAATTTGTGATGTGTCTTGTTTATAAATATTATAGAATCAATCTCATTGACATCTTTCATGGGCTGGGGTGCATGATTTGTTAATTAATGATTGATTACAAATGAAGTATAAATGTGCACTCCCTTCCCTAGGATGTAGCAGATAACCAGATAGACTCTGGGGACCTGATGGAGTGTCTGATACAGAACAAACACCAGAAGGATATGAATGAGAAGTGCGCCATTGGAGTCACCCACTTCCAGCTGGTCAGTAATACCTGGCAGATCCTTCTTGTCTTGGCTCCTTGCAAGGTTACTGAATCCCTTCTTCTTACAGAACATCAGAGCACCTCTTCTCTGAAAAATTATTTTTTCCAAATATCTGTCTTATTTCTGTTGGTTCCTAGTAAGCGTGGTTTTTATCTGCTAGGGCTGGGCACTTGTACCTAGGTCTGGCATTTTAGTAAGTTTAAACCATACTCTTCGTAGTTACATGTCTAAAGGAAGTGTTTCTGGTAAAGTGAACACTTCCTTCCCAGGAGGATGAAATCCAGCCAGCTGTATAAAACTGACCTCTTCTTGGGGGCACATAGCCTCCCAGACTGCCTTCAGCAAATGGTGTTGAGGACCTCACGAGCACAGACAGTCAGACCAGGGAAAGCAGACACATCCTGCCCTCGTTGACTCATTTGTATTCTTCTTTTTTTCTCTCTCTTTTTTTTTTAACATTTTTTTATTGAGTTATAGTCATTTTACAATGTTGTACACATTTACAAATAAATACATAATCTCAGGTGATCCTGTGAAAAAATAAAGCAGCATAAGGCCTAAAGGGTGATGGGGAAAAGGGACTTGAGAAGGAGGTATTTGAATACAAGCATCAAGGAAGTGAGGGAGCAAAGCATGGGAGATCTGGGGGAAGAGCCCTTTAGGCCAAGGGGGCAGCGTGTGTGTGCTGGAAGCTGGTGTGCATAGAGCAGAGGGAGCCATGGGGAGTTCAACAGGTCATGAAGTGTTAGACAGACTTGTGTGGGGCCTGGGAACTTGGCTGCTGCGCACTGTATATGAACACAGTGTCACCCAGCATTGTGAATTAGATGTTGTCACAGAGCTTCTGACTTTTTTTTTAATCATCTTTTTTAGGTGCAGATGAAGGATTTTCGGTTCTCTTACAAGTTTAAGATGGCCTGCAAGGAAGATGTGTTGAAACTTTGCCCCAACATAAAGAAGAAGTATGTAGCTTTTAATTGATTTGTTCAATTAAATTTGCTTCCCTGAAATCCCTCTTAGCTACTGAGTGAGTGTCCAAAGTGTCAGGTGGCCTGCTGCTGTCTGGCAGGGTTAGCTCTGGAGGCCCCCTGCATTCCTCTGGTAGTTGGCCAAACACTTGGATTGTCTAGACAGATCCTCTTTGTAAGTAGTCTAGAGCCACACCTGGTGGTAGTAGTTCTGATGTGGAGAGACTGTGGGCTAAGGGAGCATTTTTAATTTTTCCAGGTTAGGCTATCTACTTGATGAAACAGATACAGATTTTGTACTTAGAGGAGCAAGTTACAGTGTGAATAAGAACTGACTTCCTTGTGACATCATTCCATTATGTCATCTCCTCAGGGAAGCAAAAGAGCCTTTCACTGAGTTAGAGATGTAGTAAAGAAACAAAAACTTTATTCAATAAAGAATTAGGTCTTAATGAGGAGAGTGATGAGCTTTTACAGCATGGCTGCCCAAATTCTTCCATGCCGCTCTTTGCAAAGTCACATTTCTAGAACACGTTTCCCCTTATACAAACTAAATTCCTATTTTGCATAGGTTTCTGTACCTTTCAGGAATGATTTTCACAGTATATCAAAGCCATAGTATAGAGTTAAAAGTAGCATTACTCCCTGGTTACATGTTTTTAACAAAACAAGTGCTGAACTGTCTTGCACACATCCCCTCCATGGCCTCCCCACCAGTCAGAAATGTTGTCAGCATTTGGGCTGTGGCCCAACTTTTATGATGTATACAGTTAGATAGCTGCTTTTAGCTCTCTGAAAACACAGTGAGACTTTAATGAAAGGCATTGAAAAACTTGATAGAGGTGTCATGGGTTCTGGGGGGATGGTGTGGCCCCTGCTCCAGCCCAGCCCTTGGCCATCTGCCCTTGGTGGCTCCAGCCCGTCTCAGACCTCTCCTTCCCTTGGCAGGGTGGACGTGGTGATCTGCCTGAGCACCACCGTGCGCAATGACACTCTCCAGGAAGTCAAGGAACACAGGGTGTCCCTGAAGTGCCGCAAGCAGCTGCGGGTGGAGGAGCTGGAGATGGTAATGCCTCTGAGCACAGCCTCTGGTCCCAGAAACCGCAGAGCAGGGCTTAGAGAGTTGGGTGAAGAATGAGGGCAAATTGGAAATTGGAAGATTTTAGCCACAAGCGTGATGGTTAAGACTTGGAGCTGCATGCTAAAATTTTACCATAGAACCGCTTCCTGTTTTACTTTTCTTTTTAATGATAAAGTATTTTTTACCACACATACTTGGAAGTCCAGTTATATAAGACAAGCTGTGAGAATGTGATGTGATCATTGCCTTGATAATGGAATCAAGGATCGAGGGTCTCTCCCTCTCCACTCTGCTGTCCTTGGTACCACCAGTCATTAAGGCTGGTTTCCCTCATAGCTACACAATGGCTGCCTGCAACAGCTGGGCCACCTGCTCCAGTATTCATCTCCAGCACAAACTAAAGATCCTGCCCTTCAATTTGACTGTGTCAGTTTGAGATCTGTGCCATCCCGCCCCGACCAGCAGTCTCCAGGGGATGCACTTATTGATGAGCTTACTCATAATCCAGGTGTGGTAGATGTTGGGAAGCCAACCACAGTGTGCATTGTAAGAGGACACATCTCACTCTACTTTTGAGGTTAAGCCCAGACCATGTTAAGACAGCTAAAAATATGAATCACACTTATTTCACCTCAGTCTAAGCAAGAACTAGTAATGGACACCACAACCATTAATATGACATAAGTTGCATTACCAGATTTTCACATATAGTGGTAGTGATTCAGTGAGAATTACATTTACGTGGAGCTGGCCTAAACGTCCTTTTATAATAGAAACTTTGAGTCCCTAGATTTTAATCTGGCTCTTTCAGTAAAATAATAATAATAATGAAAGTAATGGTTTTAACTTTGAAAGTGGTTTCCACATCATATCATTTTATTTCATCTCACAGTAGTCCTATGAAGGGGTCAGGGTAGAGGGTGGTGTTTCATTTTGCAGAGTACGTCTAAGGCCAAGTAGCTAGTTAGTGGCAGAACTGAAACTCAATCCTGCTTATCTTTTTACTGCAGTGGGCACACTGCTGCCAATTAGCTGTGTAGAAGTTACGGTCACCAGATAAGAGCCAATCAACAAATAATTACGTAGAACATTTGATTTGACATCTCCAGCTTAGAGTAAACTGACTTTTTCATGCTGGTTCTCTCTCATGCAGACAGAGGACATCCGTCTGGAACCAGATCTGTATGAAGCCTGCAAGAGTGACATCAAGAACCACTGTTCCACCGTGCAATACGGCAATGCTCAGGTAACTTTTTATTTTTATTTTTTAATTGTAAAGGTAACGTGAAGGTAATTTTTTAATAATTAATTCTCCACTAGTGGGAAAAGCCCCATCACGTGCTGTCCAGCCTGACCATCCCCTTTTAAGCTACTTGAGACTATGATTTTTCTTTCTTTCTTTTTTTTTTTTAATTGAGGTATAGTCAGTTTACAATGTTGTGTGGTTTTTCATACAGACTACTTTCTCTCACCTTCATTCCTCTTCATCACCTATTCAGTCTCTTTGCCCTTTTAGGTTACCTTGTCCTCCCTTACCTTGTCTGCTTAATGACCTTTCAGATGCCTCCTCTCTCTAGCTTTCCCAAGCTGCACCTCCAAAATTAATTACTACCTCATATGTTCCCATTCCACAGACATTCTAAACTAGAGGTCACAGGAGAACCACCTTGGGGATTTTTTTTTTTTTAATTCACGGAACAGGGCCCTACCCAGAATCGTCAGGAATGACGTGCAGTCAAATGATTTTTTTTTTCAGTCTTCTCCTTTTGACTCATCTACCTCTCTAGTTCAGGGTATCGCTATGGTGCTTTAACTTCTGAGATAATGGTTGCACTGTCTTCTTGTATCTGCTGTTGGTGTTGCAGAGTCTGATGTCAATCTGATTCTCATTTCTGTGTAATTAATCTACCTCTGAGTTTTCTATTTATCTTTAATGATCTGTAATTTCACTACAATATAATTAGATACGGCTTTTGTTTTCTTTATCCTGGTTGGCTCTTTCAGTCTCAATTCATATCTTACTTCAGTCCTAGGAAGTTCTCAAATATTGTTCTTTGAAGTATTGCCTTCCTCCTGGAACTCCTTGTTAAACATTTAGAGCATCTGAATTGGTACTCCATGTCTCTGAACTTTTTCTTTCATGCCTTTCATTTCTTTATCTCTTTCTACTACTTTGAGGTAATTCCTCAGTTCTGTATCCCAGTTTCATAATTTATTCTTTAGCTCTTTCTATTCTGCTCTTTAGAGAGACCACCAGTTGGGTTTTATTTTTCATTTCCAGCATCTCTAATTGTTTCTTTTCATAACTACCTGTTATTGATTCTTGTTTACTATTTCCTTCTGTATGGCTCTGAGGGTATTAAACATACTTTTGATTGCTCTGTTGCCTTTTCCCCTCAGTTCTGAGGCCCTGATTTATTTTATTTATCATCTTTCTTATGGTATTAGTGTTCCTCAACTACAGTTGGCTCTTAAACAATGCAGGGCTTAGGAGTGCGGAATCTTTACATAGTCAGATCCCTGCGTATAACTTATAGTCAATCCTCCATGTACGCAGGCTCTATCTGAAGTTCCACATCTGCCCATTCAACCAACACAGATCGTGTAATACTTCAGTATTTACTGTTGAAAAAAATTCTTGTTTAAGTGGATCCATGCAGTTCAGACCCTTGCTGTTCAAAGGTCACCTGTATTTGGTGATTCTTGGTTGTGCCTTGAGGTTTTCATAGACATCTCTGACTTCATGCTACAGCCCCTGCTACTGCCGCCTCCCATCCGCTTTCCTTTTTTTTTTTATAGTATCCAAAAGTTAATTGTAGGGAAGGGGAGATTTTAGGATATACTTAATTCACTATCTTAAAATCTCTCCTGTGGTACTTTATGCTTTCATGTTAACTCACTTATCTTTTTTATTGTAGTTATTTGTTTAAACAATAACTTTGTGCTGTGAGACTTCTGTAGTCTTCAGGGGTAAGGATTAGGTCTGATACCTGGCATCTAATGCTCTATTCTTATGTGCTAGATGGCGAGTTGAACTGAACTTCCTGGCTTGTGCCTACTGTCTAGTCAGGGTTATTGCTCTAGGGAAAGGCAGAGAACCTGACATATGCTCCAAAATGAACCTTAACAAGGAACAGCCCTAGAAGACAGAAGAAACCTGGAATCCTCAGAGGGTTTCTTTCCCTTTAGACTCCAGTGCACTCTGTTCTTCTTCCATAATTTTTATACATTTGATTTGCTATTATCCCTGAGGTGGTAAATCTATTAATAGAATTCTCCAAATAAAATTCTCCTTTGTGAGGAAATCCTGATTTCTTATTACCTAGGTATTAAAAATGGAAAGCACCTGGATAGAAAAATAAGAGATGCACTAAGAACTGAATGCTTTATTCAGAATGCATGGATTATCAATCCCTGACCCACCTCTTAACTTGACCATAACTCTTATGCCTTAGATTATTGAATGTCTGAAAGAAAACAAAAAACAGCTGACTGCCCGTTGCCACCAGAAAGTTTTTAAGCTGCAGGAGACAGAGATGATGGACCCAGAGCTAGACTATACACTTATGAGAGTCTGCAAGCAGATGATAAAGGTAAGGGATCCAAAATAAAGGGCTGAGCACAGGGTAAGTCAAAGTAATGACAACATGGACTTCTTTAAATTTCAGAGCGAAATCATGTAATCTGTCAATGTCAACCTGTTTTATACAGCTGAGGCTGGAGTTCTCATAGTCTGGTCCCTAGACCAGCACGATTTGTACCACCAGGGAACTTACAGCCTCGGGCCCCACCCCAATCTCTGAGGCATAAGCTCTGGGAGAGTTACTTTCAGTTTTCACAAGCCCCCAGGGGTTCGAATGCAGCTCAAGTTTGAGAACACTAAGCTAAAATAACTGATCTCACTTTGACCTAAGTCAAGTAAATAGAGGTCCATTAAATTTGTGATTGGTTTCGAGGTCATTTGGTGGTAGGTATACTCACAAAGCCACCACTGAGTGTCCTGATCATCCATCTACCACCATCAGAGGCTTTTTTATTTTACAAGTTCTTTTGCTTCCTTTACTTCTCCAGTGAACATTCCCTGCAGCAGGGCTGACTGGGGATCCCAGATATCAGTCCCTGGATCTGTCCACATGTACAAAGAGGTTAAACTTAAAGTGCTGAGCCCTTATTTCAGCTTCCCTTTAAAAAGGAATGATACTTTTCACCCTATCAAATAAATTTCAAAGAGAATTGTGGAAGTTAGAAGTCACTTTCACTGGAAGTTAGAAGTCACTTTCACAGAAGAATTGAGTCCTCTGTAAAACTGAAAATGTCAGGCTATGATATGAGGGAGCTTTGTAAGATTTTGATGATGTCTATAAAAATCAGTCAGCAATCCACATCCCCATATTAAGATATCTGTAGGCTATAATTAACAGATAGACTGTGGATTAGCAGATAGAAATGGAGCTTCTTTACAAGTCCAGAATGAATCTCTGGCTTCAAGGACACTTAACAAGTGTACAGGGGCTGGCCCCACAGGATCTAGTAGGATTATAGCCCCTGTATTTAAAAAATGAACTAGACAGGCCCTTTCCCCACATCCCTTTTCACATTAGTTGGTGGATAATTCCTACATTTCCCATTGAGATTGGATGGATACGTCTTGGGGGCTACATGATCACCTGGTACAGTGTTATGTTCATGCTTAAACAATATGTAAGCTCATGAGACATCATGTAGCATAGCCGTGTAACTATGCAAAACAGGCAACAGGTAGTAGAAAGAAATGTGAGAAATATAGATATGAAAGGGGAACTTAAGGCTGGGTACTTACTCAGGCTTCCTGTTTCTCTTGTCTCAACTGATACCTTTAGGTTGCTTCTGTCATAAGCTCCCCCAAAAGATGTTAAGAGTGTGATTAATAAGTTGATGTTAATTGCCATATTTGGATAACTGCTTTTATAAAACTTTGTTTCTTTGCAGAGATTCTGTCCAGAAGCAGATTCCAAAACTATGTTGCAATGCTTGAAGCAGAATAAAAACAGTGAATTGATGGATCCCAAATGCAAACAGATGATAACCAAGCGCCAGATCACCCAGAACACAGGTAACATCTTGCGTGGCTTTCCAGATCCCACTGGGTATAGCTTGAAAGAAACTGAGTGACCTACTTGCCTGATTAAACCGTGGGTGCTTTGTTGTTTGTGAATGTGAAGGAAAGAATCTGGATGTAATAAGCACAATGACTTAACTCATTCTTTGACAAGCACCCAGAAGAATGAAATGAAAATCGTGGGAAAGAAAAGGCTGAAAACATGGAAAACTGCCTTTGGAGAGTGTACAAAGGGAATTAGGGCTAGACTTCCTTGAAAAGTCTAGAGATTTAATAAAACTTCATGCATATGGCAGGAGAATGTATGGGTAATCTGTTTTAGAACAGAAATTTATCTATCTCTGCAGCAAGGTGAGTGGGATATTCTGTTTTCAGAGTTTCCAAAACATACATATTATGGGGAAGGTTGCTGGTATCTGCTTGATTTTTGTGAGGACTGCTTAGAACATTGGTCTCAATAGACCCTGCAGAGCTGCTGCAGAGTAGGATGCGTGGGGGTTTCCACGTCCACTCTTTCACCACATTATACTGGTGATTTTAAACACTGTAATGAGGGCTCAGTAAACATTTATTGACTAAACAAATCAATGGTTGATTCATGGTTATGGACGTAATATGCCCCCTTTGGGTAGATGGATCTCAAAACATTTGTGAATCCAGGTGGAATATTTTATCTTGTACTTAATCACTTTCTGCTCTAGATTACCGCTTAAACCCTGTGCTAAGGAAAGCCTGTAAAGCTGACATTCCTAAATTCTGTCATGGTATCCTATCCAAGGCCAAGGATGATGCAGAGCTAGAAGGTCAAGTCATCTCTTGCCTCAAGCTGAGATACGCTGATCAGGTAAACCGGCCTGGGCTGTGCACAGAGGTGTGTTTACGGAGCCTCTGCTAGTCCTGGCAGTTCTTCCTTTGGAAAAAAGAAATTCGTTAGCTTGCTCCTACTTTCCTAAGACCTTTTTCACACCAAATGAAAAGCTGACGTATTCTAATTGGCCGACATACTCTCCTTTGTCACGTGCAGCGCCTTTCTTCAGACTGTGAAGACCAGATCCGGATTATCATCCAGGAGTCTGCTCTCGATTACCGACTCGACCCTCAGCTCCAGCTGCACTGCTCAGATGAGGTAGGATTTGGTTACAAAGCTGGTTATGAACAGAGCTGGACAAAGAAGTTTTTATTGGGGAAAAATTCTTTACTCTCTTTCCCTTCAGCCCTGAATCCAGGGTTCACTGAAGGCCCATCTTCTAGGCTCTCCATTGTCTGAGTTCCTGGTTCTCTGTTAACGCTGAATTTGGGTTGGCGTGAGTCCTGTCACTATTTACTTTTGATTCCATATTTCTCTATTGAACAAGAGTTTTATTATACCTCTCTCTGGGTAATTTGTTCTTCTCTCTCCTTATTCTGATGGTCAACCCAGCACACCCTCAAGACTTGCCAGAAAGATAGAAGTGCTCCTATAATACCTCTAAAGAAGTGCCCATCCTTAGAAATTATAACCTTATAGCTAGAAAAGGCCATATGGAGAACTTTATTCAACATATGTCAATTTTATGGGATCATAGCTGAAGATATTTCAAAAAAGCTTACTCGTAAAACTGTCCAAAGAAGATTAAATTTTTAATTTGTGCTGCAGGCTATGTGTCAGGACCCTTTTTTCTGTGCTTGTGTGTGTGTGTGTGTATGTGTGTGTGTGTGTGTGCATGTTTCCAAGTTGTGAGGCTGGGTTGACCCTGAACCTCTGTAAATATCAAGCATTTGCTTTGAGTATTTAACTTTGCTACACGACCTTCCTCCTGAGGAAACAGGGAAGTAGCCTTCTCTGTGACCAGTCCTGGGACAGTCTGACTCAGGCCTTAGAGTTGACAGCGTGAAGATACGTGCATTGACTGGTTTTCCGCTCTGGGCCAGTCCCTGTGAAGGAGAATGGAGGCTGGCGTCCCATATGGGAGGGAGGGGAGTGAGATCTACCAGGAATCCGTTGAGAAGAGCCCTGGGAGGATCACCACATCAACACGTCCCACAGTTGTTTGTGTCTCCTGAACAGATTGCCAGCCTGTGTGCCGAAGAAGCAGCAGCCCAGGAGCAGACAGGTCAAGTAGAGGAGTGTCTCAAAGTCAACCTGCTCAAAATCAAAACAGAAGTGTGTAAAAAGGTAACTACCATCAATCAACATCTTCCCGCACTTGCTTTTCTCTCTTCTTTCTTTTAAAGCTGTAGTCTGTACAACTTAGTGACAAAATCTGAATTTTCCTTCCTAGAGTTCTATCTGTTCCCTCCCACCAAACTAATTTGGCTTTTGATCATTAATAGCCTGTAACTTAAATATTCTTTTCACACGTACAAGTTATTTGTGAATATGTCTCATCCCTATGACCAGACCCTTGTTTAAGGGCATTGCTTAAGTATTGTGCCAAAGCAAAATGTCACTTCCAATATATCAATCAGTAAGTATGCTGCATTCATAAAAACCAGTGAAACTAAAAATTTAGTTCATTTCAGAAACTTCACATAAAAACAAATTTATCAAAATACAACGGCTAAGCATACATTAGCTTACAAAATTGGAAGTGAAATATTATATGTGATCTTTTTTAAAAACCTTTATCTTTTTTTGGAAAAGTGTTTCAATCATGACTTAAAGTTAATGTGAATATTGTGTGCAAATATTTTCATCTGCTAAAAATGTTTCTAATTCCACATGGTCTGAGGAGTGGTAGGAGTTGACTGAAAGCTAAATCCAGGTATTTTCCTTTGACTACTTTTTCATCAAATGATCACATTTAACTTTAAGGAAGACTTTTTGAACAATATTTCAATTTTTTTAATTTGTTTTTATTATTGTGATACAGTCTTTCTATTGAGAGCAAACTAATTTTTATTTAAGAAAGCATTTCAGGCTTTACCTCTTATGATTCCATCATGTATAAACAGAGTGCAGTGCTGATTTTCAGTTCTATCACGTGTATATTCCTGTTGTTCAGAACATCTTTAAACTCAAATAAAAATTATTTCTGCAGTAGAAGTTATGCTCTATCAATTCTTTTTTCTTCTTTTGAGGATGATGGAGGTAAAGGGAAACATTTCGCAAATACACACACCCTTTGAGAGTTTTAATATAGCATATTACTCTGATTTTTCAGTTTTCACATTTTCAGACTTCCTAGAGTAACAGAATAACTGCATTAAATCAATATAAATGCTAACACTTACTATTCAATAATATGGTTTACCAAAATGCCAAATTCAATTCCAATCTTACGGTTTCCCTGCTTTGCTTAGCAAACAGCTTTGCTTAGCAAACAGCTTTGCATACACTCAGTCCCCAAGCTGTATTTATTGAGTTAAATTGGATGCTAAAAGACTGCATTCTTTGCATCATCACCATGTTGCCCAGCCTTCCCTCCTTTACTTTTTGTTTATATATAAAGTATTTACAGACTACAGAGCTGATATATTTCCTCTATAAAAACTCTCTAATGATCTGTTCTTCTCAGGAAGTGTTAAACATGCTGAAGGAAAGCAAAGCAGACATCTTTGTGGACCCAGTTCTTCATACAGCTTGTGCCCTGGACATTAAACACCACTGTGCAGCCATCACCCCTGGCCGAGGGCGTCGTAAGTCACTGTGTTCCCTCTGACCCTGTCTGAACTGTCTTGGAAGGAGCAAAGACTTTCGAGACATCAGTTGTTCTGTAGCATAGACAGCAGCCTCTTGGGACCTGGTTGATGCTGGGACTAGACCTTTGTGGCAAAATGAATTTAGGAATAATCCTGTAGGTCTGAATTGCTCTAGCCATGACAGAGGCAAAGATTTGAAGAAAAGAGGAAGTTGAGTTATTAGGGAAGCAGAAGTTAGCCATCTTCATGGCCCTCTTCCCCGACTTGTCCAACCTCGAGCAGCTTCAGCAACTTCCCCAGCAGTACATTGGGCTCAGCAGACAGGTTTTGTGTGAGGTGGAACCTGGACAGGTGTAAAGTTGTTTCTGAGCCGTGTGTGTCCAATGAAAATGAGAGAGGTTTTAAGAGACTCTGGACAGCCAACCTTTGGACAGCCAACCTTAGAAGTTGAATATCCTTCTCCATGTTAGATCTTGAGTCACATGTTCTAGGTTGGATTTAACTTTGTGTAGCCTACAGATCTGAATTCTCTGGTGGTTAGGTATCCTTCTCCCCAACCTTACAGAAATTTCTGTTCAGTACAGTTTCAGACTCTTCTTATCCCTTTTCTTGCACAGAAATGTCTTGCCTTATGGAGGCTCTGGAGGATAAGCGGGTGAGGTTACAACCTGAGTGCAAAAAACGCCTCAATGACCGGATTGAAATGTGGAGTTACGCAGCGAAGGTAATGACGAGGATTCCCTGAAGTGACCGTCCCCTCTCAGTTTCCCAGTCTCTTCAAGATACTTCACTTCTCCTTGTCCTTGTGAGACTGGCAGTAAGTGTATTTGAAAAACCTGTCAGTGCACCTGTAGGACTCCTGGGCTCTAATTGCCTGGAGCCACTTTCTCCAGATGGGGCAACAGAGACACTAATTAGTCTCTTACCGCATCAGTTTCTGCTTTTGAGCCGCTAAACATTGCTTCAGGGTGACTCCACTGCTTATTTTGTGTTGGCAAATGTTGATGCTCAAATCACGTTAATCTGAAGCCCCCCCCCCCTTGCTGTGTTCTGAGTACATGGATGGGCATAGAAGCAGCCTCTCTGAGCTGGACCCTTCTCTGGCACCCAGACTAAGTTGAAACTAAAAAGAACAGGTTGGTGTATACCTGGGGAACCTTCCAGTCCTGATTCTGCCATGGCAGGCCACCACACAGGTCCAGTGAAGAAAGCGGTGAGGAAAACTGAGGATGAAAACTGTTTAGACTAGAGTGCCCACGACTGAGGGAGTGGTTAAGTGTATTTGGTCAGCATAGGTCATGTTTGCGTGTTGCTTTTGGTGGGGGGAGTGCTGATGATTTGATAGTGAATGAGAACAAGTCAATATAGAATTAGCATCTGACAGTGTCTCAACTTCTCTCTTTGTTTTTAAAAAGGCAGCAACATACGAAGGAAATAAATCAAAATACATGAGAACCTATGCCCTTGTACAAGTCACTTGACCACTTCCACCCCTCGGGCCTATGGGTCTTCATCTGTAATCTGGGAGTAATGGAATCTACTTACCAGGTTTAGTGTGAAGACTGAATGATAGAAATGCGTTGAGCCCTTTGCCAGGGCCCAACATGTCAAGTCCTCAATATGAGGGCTGGTATTACACAGGCGGTGGCGATCGCTGTGATGAATTGTATGCGACTCCACCTTTTTGTATTTGTCTGCATTTTCAACTCTTGTGTGGTAGATACATACAGCATTATGATCAGGAAAAACAGTTGTAGCTCTGTGTTTGGTTTTCTTGTGTCTTATCCTCCTCTCTTCCCAAAAGAAACGACACAAGTTAAAGTAGGAGTGGAGGGGCAAGTTAGAGTGAGCAGCATCCCAGCCCATGTCTCTCTGAGGATGATGTTGCTGTGTATTTTACAGGTGGCCCCAGCGGATGGCTTCTCTGACCTCGCCATGCAAGTGATGACATCCCCGTCAAAGAACTACATTCTCTCTGTGATCAGTGGGAGCATCTGCATACTGTTCCTGATTGGCCTGATGTGTGGACGTATCACTAAGCGAGTGACACGAGAGCTCAAGGACAGGTAGAGCCACCTTGACAACCAGAGGAACGACCTGTCCAGTGCCCAGTTTGTACAGCCCTCCTGTATAGTGTACCCACACACCTCGTCCTTCTGCGAGGTGACACCAACACCCATGTTAGAGCAGCAGCAGGTATCCACTGCATTGTCCCACCTCAGACCTCGCCCATGTCCATGGTATCCTCCTCCTCGACCATTTTTGCAGCAGCTGGCCGCTTTGGGTATTGCCTTTGTTGGCAAACTTGGGTTTACCTGCCCATAGACAAGTCTCATACCGATGGAACTACCAGTACTTCCAGAACCAACTCACCTGACCTGCAACTCAAATTTTTTTTTTTAAAAAAAAACACCAAAAAAGAAAAAAAAGAAATTTTTTAAAAAAAATGTATATAGTAACACATCTCCTCCAGGCTTGATTTGAGCAATGGGGTTATTCTGTGTGATGGTGTAAAATGAAGGCAGGACGTTAGCGGGGAAACACACCACCCAATATGCTATAACTGGGATGTCTTGCTTATTTCTCAGAAGCACCTTTGGCCCATTTCAGGGCCATGGACTTCACCACCTAGTGGGAAACCACTAACCAGCCCACTTTGGGGTCTTGTTTTCTTCTGCTGAAACAGTGATGCTTTCCAGTTCCCACCCTAGTAGAGCCACTGCTGGTCAAGACCCCAAGGCCATGGATATTTCTGTCATCTCCTCACCTCAGTGAAGTAGAGCATGAGCTCCCTAGGCCAAGGGCAGGTGGGTTGGGGAGGGGATCAAAAATGTGTGAAGATGGTAAGTCCACTGATCTGCACTGAGAGCCTGAACCCTGAGGCCCAAGGCAGTAGGAACACAGTGATCTTTCCTTCTCCAGGCCAGTGCAGGACTCTTGTCAAGTTCGGATTGACCCTGCTAGGGTGGCAGTTCCTCCAGAAGTGCTCTGCTTCACCAGGAGGCCGTGACTACAGTGGGAGGGAGCTCAGGGCAGGAAGGAGGAGCAAGGTATTGATTGACTTTGCTTTATTTTTCAGGCACCAAGGCAGGTCAGAGACAATGGCTTATAAGGAGTTAGCGTGGTCTCAGGGTGTGACTGGCAATCCAACCTGAGCTTTCTGCAGGCTCAAGGCCACCTTCCCAGACAGGTTCCTTTATGCCTCTATGTGGAGAGGGCATGGAAAGTTATTACATTAAAAGATGGAGGCCTTTCTCCGTTTTTTCCCTTTCTATCCATTTGCTGCGTGCACCCACTGTAGTAGACGTTGGGTAAATGTACTTTGATGATTCATCAGTCTTTCCCGAATCTGAGCTTTATGAAAGTAGTATTCCTGGCCAACCTCCCTCATCCCTCCAATGTAGAGATGACAGGTTTGGAGGATAAAAAGACAGCAGTGCAGGCATCATGGTTCAACCTGGCACAGCTTGGCTTGAGTGTGGGGCATGGAGTCCAGTGGCTGCACAAGAGGGCAACGTGTACAGTAGGAGATATATTTATATAATATATATTTTATTAACCTGTTAGACGTCCACAGAGTATTATAAATCATGTGCCTAAAACTGTCCACATAGACCATGCGCCCTTCCTTGCCCTGCCCCTCTTTGCCACTGTCACATGTGCTATGGGACCTACTCAACATTTGTCTTCCCTGAAATGTGTTCAGTACAAAGTAGGTCAGTTTGTGGGTCAGTTGATCCAAATAACTCCTTGTCTCATCTGACTGACGTATATTTGAATACTGTGGTTTTTCTCCTTTTTCTTTCTTTTTCCTTTTTGCTGCCCTTCCTGGAGGCAGTGGGTTCCAGAAGCCAGCTGCATATCCCCTGCCTAGAGTACAGCAGGTCACCAGAGGGGCTTCTAAGCTGCTTGGTCCCTTCAGTCATGCTCTTAGTGTCTTCCTGATTCTCAGCAGCTGTCCTGGGATTCTTCAGTCTCATAAAACTTGAAATTCTTGGGGTTTAAGCACCAACCCCCTACTACCACCCCTGTTGGACTGAGTTGAGCTAGTCTAGATAGTCCACCTCTAGGGGTTCCTACCTGGATGGTAGGGGCTTGGGATTGAGAACTGGGGATGTCATCTAAACAGAGGCCTCCACTGACATGTCTCATGTGGTTTACAGAATAGAATAAATGTTCCCCATCTGAAGAGTGTAAAGGTACTATTCTCCATCTCTGCAGTCTCCCTCCCAATATATGTAAAACATCTCTGTAGTTTAATGTGTTTTGATACTTTTGTTCTTTCTGAACTGGGAGATGATCTCAGTTTCTGCAGCAGATCTGGAAGTTTGAAAAGGAGTTTGATTCTCAAAACATTTGTCACCTTTAGAAATGATCCAAATAGACATAAAGGATAAGTCTGCCCATATCTTGGATTGCTCATTGCTAGAAAGCATATCACCTTCCTGCTTAGATTGCTTTCATATGACTGATTCTTGAGAGTCCCAGGTCGTATCTTGAGCAGTTTCTGACATCCAAGGGGCCAAGCAGCACCTGAACCAGTGGCCACGCTCTATCCATTCTGTACCTCATTTGGTGTAACAAAACAGGTGCTGGGGCACCTCTGGCTACTGTCTTCATAGGTACCTCTTGGGTAAATCAGCTAGTCAAGAACTAGTCAGGAAGAAGAAACCATGGCCCTAGTGGAGGAGCTGATGACGAACTTCGTCCTTTACCTGTTCTCCTGACGTCTAGCCCACGTTCAGTAACATAAGCAGCAGGTAGGGTTTTTGGCCAAGGCCAAGGCTCCAAGCACTTGCTAAAGATTACAGTAGCTAGGGAACCCATCCGGCTTTGTCAGCTCATTCCAGTGTCTCAGGGACTCATACTCAGTGTGCTCTACGACACTCCAGAGGCACCAGGAGGTCAGTCTTCGGGCAGGAGGCCCTGCAGTGCAAGGAATCCAAAGTCTGGGTAGAATGTCAAGAACAAGGGTGACTGCTCCCTCAAACGGAGCTTCTTGCACACAAGGGTGGCCCTGGGCATGAGACCTTGACGCGGCTGCATCCCTGGCCTTCCTCTGCTATCGCTGCTGTCCCAAGAGAAGACTGCTGGCAAGATGCACCGAGATGGAGCCATAGCACAGGCATGGGTTCACTCCAGCAGGAAAGCCCTCCTCAGCGTTCCCTAAAATTGGTACCACTACCAGGCCCAGTTCTGTGGCTCCTGTCAGCTTGTTCTGAGCCAATGCATGTTTAGAAGCCAGGGGAATTCTCGCATTTAGTGAGCAGGTGTTGACTTGAATCCATTGTAGGCCTGTGGCTACCTCATATCCTGCACTTACTCTTCTCTGGGTCACTGGGGAGGGAGAGAGATTCTACTTTCCTAGAAGATGCGAGAGAAAATTGCCATCAGATTTCGTTTCTCCCCATTTTCTGAGGTCACATAATAGGAGAATGCAGTGGTAAAGAGGTTGTAGCATCCATGTACATCAGAGTGCTGACTTCCCTCTGCCTTCCCAAGGGAAGATTCACCCTTGTATATGAGTGTGACTTCTGCTCCACCTCTGAGCTATTGGCGCCGCTTCTTTCTCAAAGATCCCTACTAGCGTGAGTCACTTGGGGAGGAGGAAATTGCTTTGTTGGGCCTCTTTAGCTGGTCTCAAGTTCCTCTGAGAAAAGCCTCCGCTTCCCATTTCTTCCCCTCCCTCACCAAAAAATAAATTTTCTCCGTATATAATTTATTTTAAGCAAGCAAATATAGAGTAGGAAGCAGGAATAAAGACCCTTATAAGCCAGCCAACATAACCTGACACATTCTAACTAAATTTTGGCCACAGAACAAAAAGAATATGGCTTTTTGAATCATGTGCATTTTGGTATGTTTACTTGTATTTCACATTCTTCAGAATTTGAAAAACCTCAAAGATTCCTTTTATTTATTCTCACCATTTGGGCAGCACTTAAGTAGTTTTATAAAATGCAGCGTTCCAGTGCCCTGAGTTTAACCTGGTCCTTAGGGACACTCCACTCCTGAATCACCTCTTCCCCACTAGTCTTTGATTCCCAAAAGGCCTGGAGCCAGAACTGATGTTCTGGCCTCTCTCTCTCTCACTTGTCTTTGGCTGGTCATCTCTCCAACTACTCTTCTCTTAGTCCTCCTCTCCACTAGGATCAGGGTCACGTGTCAGGGCAATTGAGTTTGAAGCCAAATCCCCCTTCCTGCTCAGACCTCAGACAACAGATAAGTCCTCAGCAAACCCAGACTGACTATTCAAAGTGACAGGCTCTCCGAGCCAAATAGTGACATCACTGTGGAGACCATCTGGAGCACAAAGGTGGGACGGTCTCCTCTGGCTGGTGGTGACAGGATCCTGACAGTGGTTTCCTCAGCTTCCTCCTTCCCGAGATCCTCCAGGACTCACAGGTAGGGATATTGGGAAGCATGCATTGGAGGAATGTCCCTGAGCAAGGAGAAGATTCAGATAGTGCCTCTATATTCTGTTTTGCCTTCCCCCCAACATAGAGTTGACACCTGGACCCCAGAGCCCAGCAAGCCCTATACCATGCATGTGAGGATGGTTTGAACAGGTCCCCCGGTCAGACTGCAGTGCACTGGATGGAGGGACCATAGGAGAGCTGGCTTCCTGAGCCACTTCTCCCAGCACAAGGTTCCCAGGTCAATTCAAGCAGGAAAACAGACTGTACAACAGATACTGTGTGAGATCTTAGGCCTTTAACTGTTTTTTTTTTTTAAGAAAGAAGGAAAAGTAAAATTAACAAGCCTCTTTTGTAAATGGTTTTCCTTTCTATGTATAAAATCCCGGCAGTTCCTTGTTTTTACATGTTCATGCTGTGTAATTTTGAGATGTTACTGAGATTCTGAACATAATGTGCGTTTTTTTTCTGTACAGATGAAATGGGAGAATTTAATAAAGAGTTTGCAGGTTTTTACTTGTTAAATCTTCTCTATGGTGACTGGGAGGACTCTCCAACTGCCTGCTCTGCTGGTGGAAGTCTCCAGAGCTGTGAGCACCAACTGTGAACTTGCCACTGATGCTCACAAAACTTACTGTTAGAATGGTGGTGTTCTTGGCTAATTAGGTCAAGCAGAGTAGGACCATAGGTCTTTCAGAGAAGAGCTGGAAGTCAGATCTGGGGTTTTCTGACTCTCAGGCTGATATGTCGAGAAATATTCATTCTACTGATGTGTTTATGCCCTGTCATGTGGCTCCTTCCTGGGGGAACCACATACCTGGAACTTCTCTTTATAGATGTGACATATGGATGGCATCTGGTCTCTGGTGGCCGCCTTCCCATTCAGGCCCAGAATTAGGCCACATTTATTTTCTGGGCACTGCCATGTCCCCTTTTAGTCAGTGCTTGCCTCCCCATTCCAACAGCCCGATCCTGAAGTCAGTGACACCCTTCCCTCATCTTTTTTCTACCACCTCTACTTTCAGCAAAGCTAATTTGTATCTGGGCATTAAAAAGTAACAGCTTAAGTAATTTGCACAGTAGCAAGGATTTCTTGAAGTAGTAATGGTCATGCCAGTATTCGAATGAAATGGGATGTTCAGTGAGAAAGGAAGGGTAACCCTGGAACCCAGGGTTTCTTTTCAAAATTCTTCAAATCCATTTTCAGCAGCTGTCACTTAAGAGCTGGTGGGCCAGGGTATAGAGTGGAGGCCAGGAGAAGGAGGAGGAGAAGAAGAAAGGAGGGAGGGGTTGGGGTACATTTTGAATCCCAACTAGAAGTATTCTCTATCTAGGGGACTGTGAGCAGCCATCAGCCCTGAATGAGTGTCCTGGAGAGGCCACCCTGCTTTTGTGTGGGCATGAGCTGTGGCTTCAGGCTTCTCGTTGCCTGTATCCCTACAAGGGAGAAGTGGCTCCCCTAACCCAGCTGCCCTTGGTCCCCCAAGGGGACACTGCACAGTGATGGGTTACATACTGCACAGTGATGGGTTACATGCTGCCCAGCTGACACCTTAGCAGTCTGAATGGATTGCCCCACTCCCATATTTTGTGTGTGACTTTTCTGGTGAAAGATCCTTGGCCAGCTTTAATCCTCAGAGGCTTCTGGCTTCTGTTATCAGAAGGGGCTAAGAACAAAAGTTTTAGCCAAAAAGTGAAGAACCTTAGACCATCTAACTCCCACTTGGATGGAAAAGTGAAGTGCAAAGAGAGAGAGGGACTTGTTTTCACACACAGCTAATTCGCAGCAAAACGAGCATGTCAGCCCCTGCCATATGCTTTTCCTCTGACTAGCCAGATTGGCTTTGGGACCTGTGTGACCAAACTAAAACCCCAGCCCCCATCTAGCTCTGGGTGGAGGCCACTGACCTGACCCCAGAGTCTACAGACCCCTACAGGCGTCCCTTGGGAGCTACTGACCTTGGTCCTAGGTTCCCACCTCCCTTGCCCAAAACAACCCACAGCACAGCAGTGTCTTCTCAAGTTACTTGTTAACTGCAGAGAAATAAAAATAGTAATTTACAGTGGAGAAAACCACGTGATGCATGTTAACATCAACAGGAGTGGGACAAAAAGACAAAATGTACCTCCTGATATAACACACCAAGGACACAACATCCCTTCTGTGGTATTCCTGTCAAAGGTGCAGAGCCTGGATTCAATCACAAAGAGACATCAGACAAACCCAAAGCAAGGGACATTCTACAAAAGTACTGCACTCAGTCATGAAAGATAAAGACTAAGGAACTGTTTCAGATTAAGCGAGACTGAAGAGACATAATAACTAAATGGAGTCTGTGATCCTGGACCAGAAAAAAAAATTTTTTGTTACCCTACTCCCAGCACATTTTCTGAGGTAACCTTTTTGGAGAACTAGGTCTCTAGGTTTTTAAGTCTGCCTCTCCACTACTGAGAAACAGGGGTCCTTTAGCAGTTCTTACTTTGTAATAATTTGAGGCAACCAGTAAAGAAGACTTGAACGTGAAGAAAAAAATTTTTGACCATTGTATTGTTACACCAAGACAGATGTAGAAAAAACGATGGAAGTCAGAAGACAGTGAAAAGATGTATTTAAAGTTCAGGAGTGACAAAAACTGCCAACATGAAATTTTTTTACCTAATGAAAATAGCCTTTAAAATAAAGATGTTCTCAGATAAAGAAAAGCTGAGAGTTTGTTACTATCAGACTTCCACAAAAGGAATCCTAAAGGAAAGTCTTCAGGCAGAAGAAAAATGATCCTAAATGGAAATACGGAAATGCATGAAAGAATGAAGAGTACTAGAAAAGGTAAATACGTGGTTAAGTTAAAATTTTAATAAATAAAAGTGTATACTGATTTTAAATAAATATAAAATTAAATAATAGATTTTAATTTTTTAATATTTTTATTGAGTTACAGTCATTTTACAATGTTGTGTCAAATTCCAGTGTAGAACACAATTTTTCAGTTATACATGAACATACATATATTCATTGTCACATTTTTTTTTGCTGTGAGCTACCACAAAATCTTGTATATATTTCCCTGTGCTATACAGTATAATCTTCTTTATCTATTCTGCATGTGCCTGTCAGTATCTACAAATTTTGAACTCTGAGTAGTATCCCAATGTATAAATACACCACATCTTCTTTATCCAGTCATCTGTTGATGGACACTGAGGCTGTTTCCATGTCTTGGCTATTGTAAATAGTGCTGCTATGAACGTCGGGATACAGGTGTCTTTTTGAAGTAAGGTTCCTTTTGGATATATGCCCATGAGCGGAATTCCTGGGTCATATGGTAAGTCTGTTCCTAGTCTTTTGAGGAATCTCCATACTGTTTTCCACAGTGGCTGCACCAAACTGCATTCCCACCAGCAGTGTAGGAGGGTTCCCTTTTCTCCACAGCCTCTCCAGCATTTGTCATTTGTGGACTTTTGAATTATGGCCATTCTGGCTGGTGTGAGGTGATACCTCATCGTAGTTTTGATTTGCATTTCTCTGATAATTAGTGATATTGAGCATTTTTTTATGTGCCTATTGATCATTTGTATTTCTTCCTTGGAGAATTGCTTGTTTAAGGCTTCTGCCCATTTATAAACATATATAAATATTGTTTGTACAAAGCAATAGAAATGTCTTTAAAATGTATATTGACTTAAAATGTCCTACAAGAAAAATACAAAAATTGGGAGGAAGCAGGTGAAGTTGAAGTGCTTTAAAGTTGTAGCCTTACTGGATAAGTGATCAAAGCAATGTTGTGTTAAACTGTTAAATCAAATCCATGTTTAGTCTGTAGGAACAACCACTGAAAGAATAATAAAAGAATATAATTAACAAATTATTAGAGGAGGGACTAATATTTTTTAAACAATCCAGAAGAAAAGAAATAAGAGAAAAAAGAAGAAACAAGTAATATAGTAGATATAAACCCAAATATATTAGTAATTACACTAAAAATAAGTGAACTAAATTCTTTTTCTTTTAACAGCAGGGAGTCAGAGGACAAACAACAAACAAAACAGAATCATTGTTTTCTAGCACTTAAAAATGTCCCTGCTCAAGAGTAGATGGATTGAGGGTCAGAGCCCTGAATTTATGTCAAAAAAATCAGGGAACCTAAGGTTATCCCATCACAAAGTCCTCCAGCTTTCACAGAGTCCCATGGTGGGGAGTCTCTGCAGACATATCTTGGGCACCTGACCCTCCAAAGATGACGCCTAATGCCCACAGAACACAATTCACCTGCTACCCTGGGGGCAGAGACTGGCGGCTAACTTTTTAAAAACAGCTTCATTGAGAATTAACTCCCATATCGTAACTCCCATAACTCCCATTTAAGGTATACAATTCAATGGTGTTTAGTAAATTCACAGAGTCATGTAACCATCACCACAATCAAGTTTAGAACATTTCATCCCCCCAAAAAGAAACCCCATGGCCATCAGCAGTCACGCATTTCTCCCCAACCTCTTGCAGCCACTAATCTTTGTGTCTTTATAGATTTGCCTATTCTGGCCATTTTCTATAAATAGAATCATAAAATATGTGGCCTTTACCTCTGGCTTCTTTCACTTAGCTTAATGTTTTCTGGGTTCATCCGTGTTATAGCTGTTCCCACACTTCCTTCCTTTTCATTGTTGAATGATACTCCATTGTGCAGACATACTCTTACCTTACTTATCCCCTCATCAGTTGATGGGCGTCGATTGTTTCCACTTTTTGTCTCTTCTGAATAATGCTGCCATGGATATTCATGAACAAGCTTTTGGCACCTAATTTTCAGAACATACTTAGCTCAGTTACCACTGCCTCAGTCGCTGGCCCTGTAAAGGAAAGTGGTAAATCCCAGCAGCACCAAAACAAACCACATCCAGAAGAAGTCTGACGTGAAGGGATCCTCGAGGTGTCCCTTCCAATCGGCAAAGTGATCGCGGGGAGGGGAGCTGCTGATGCCTAATGGGAGAATTTTCTGTTACTCTCACTCTGCTGTGGAGCGAAAGGAAAACTAAAAACAGCTTGAAGGTGGATCCCAATGTTGATTTGAACAACAAAGAGCCTCCATCAGTAACTGTCTCCTCATTGTACAACCAAGGTGTTAGAAACATTTGGACCTCTCTCATCAGCTCCTTCCTAGAGAATATTTAGTCCTTTGTTTTATTCAGTTTGTTTTACTCAGCTCCAGTTGCAACTTAGAGGAAAGAAAACACACATCAAGTCGCCTAACAGAAAAAATCACTAAGCAGAAATTGGCCAGCAGGAAGAAGTCAGGGCAGGTATCTTCAAAGCAGAGGCAAAACAGATTTTGCTCAGTTATACCATCAACATAACTGGGCGAATGTCCTAAAGTGTTCGCAGGGGCAGCCGTGAAACAGGTTCAGTTCCAATTTGAAGGGAAAAGAAGATTCTGGGAAGTGACCAATGTCAAGTAAGAAGGGAAGTCCACAGCAAAATAGAGCTGTTCTCAACTGATCCATCTGCAGATAAAGCCGGAAACAGCCTG